CTCCAATTCATTAAATTCGGACGGAATGTAAACAAACCCAGTGCCCCCGACAGAAGTTAAAGGGAAAGGATTTAAGCTCTTCAGATGTGATATTACAGTCCAACAAAAAACAAGTGAATATATCAAGTTAGAGTGAATACATATGAGTTTTGGTATTTCTGGTCAATGTGGTAAATACAATATATTCTTATTCCTCCCACTGCAGTACACAGATTTGACGCATGAGATATTGCGGTTCCTTGATTTCGGGGATTTTAAGAGTCAAAGTTCCAGGTAGATTATGTAGATAATAAAAGGGGTGGATGAAGCTTATTTGGTATTCTTTTATTTTAACTTGCATGCTAATAAAGAGGATTACCGATTAGAGAATATAATGACAAAAAAGGGGGAAAAAATCAAAGGAAAAGGACATTTTTAGTAATCATTTCTACATCTAGAAAAGTTTGTGAAAAATGTTTATTTTTAAAATGAAATGACCGTTACCGTTTACAGATCCAATAAATTATGCAAAATTATTTCTTTCTATTTATCTTTTCTTTATTTCTAGTTGTATTTTTCTCCTCACCTCAGCGAGTTTTCGATATTTATTTTTAATATATATGTTAATATTTATATATTACTGACTTGCGGAATATAGATTATATTTAAAATATAGGAAAGAGTGAAATCAAAAACACATTTTCCAACCAGTCTATCACTGTACACCAATGACATATTTTTCTGATTTGAGAAATTACTAAAGAAATGATTGAAACGTTATACAAACATTGAAATTTCTGAGTTTACAATATTCTAAACATAGATTAATTAAAATAACAGATGGGACACTAGATGTCGTCTTTTCAAGATTTGGATGAAACTCCTTCTCAATATCTCTAAGGCAGAGCCTAGAGGAGTTTCGCGTAGTCGGCGTATAATTACTAGACAGAGAGAGTTGTACTAAGCCGACTGCGCGGAACTCCTCTGGGCTTCTGCCTCAGGGTTGTTGTGAATGAGTTTCATCAAAATCTTGAAAAGACGACATCTAGTGTCCTATCTGTTATTTTAATAAACCTATGATTCTACAGTACAAAAAGGATTGAATAATGATATAAGAATACTAAAACTTATTATAAATATAAATAACTCATAAAATGATTAAAGAATTCTCTTTTTATAACTTTTTTTAAAACTTTAAATTTGATATTTTCCATAAACTCGAATCATGAAATTGATCGTATGTACGGAAATTGAGTCTTTGCCACAAAACTAAAATTTTCTAATCCCAATATCTTTGTTACCTGATGATGGATTATTTGATCTAACAGAATCTATAGTTTGAAATATCTAATGTCCTAAAACATTAGGCTGAAAAGATATTGAGATTAGAAAATCGAAGTTTGTGGCAAAGAATCCATTCCTTTTTCACAGCTAATTTTAATGTCCAAAAAATAACTCCCCAGCTGTATGTATTGTACATATTTCAGTGTACAACTGTAATAATAAATTTGTATTTTTGTTCAAATTTGTGCACTTTATTAATAGTTAAACCATAATAGAATTATAGTGGTTAATGAGGTATATTTGGATATCCTTTAGCAAACAATACTTGTATTTACATAACCTAAAAAGTACAAGTTTTACCTATAAAACAATGCTCTTACGTGAATTAAGAAAACAAATATTTGTAAAAAAAAATAATGAAAGAATTCCCCCCCCCCTTCTTTAATAGTTTCATTTAAAATTCCAACTTTGAAATTTTGCTGATGAGGTGTTTTAGAAATTGTCGGTACACCATAGTTTCAGTAGAAGTAAATATTTCCATTTACTGATAGCGCCGATTGAAGGATTCATAACTCTGATTGGATAATGAAATAGATAGAAAGATAGATGTTACCGCAATACTATTTCTATTTGTTCAGAATAGACATCAAACACATGACTGAACCCTGATTGGATCAGGCGCTAATGGACTTGGCATACAGTAGTAGTGTGTATATTATACAAGGTGATCCAATAAACATGGGAATTAAATGACGACTCAAGAATCGTGGAGATTTCCAATATTTGGATGTTAGGCATTTTACCAACAGCGAGTTGCCATTGTAAGATTGCCCTGTATTAACTTGCCAGGCGGCTCTTTGACATGAGACTATTTTATCAAGCCGCGGCTCAAAATGGTTGCTTCCACTTTAAATTGTACTGCATTTTTCAAGATTTAAGCCGGCGCTCAATTGAAACCGGTTTTTGGTAGATTTAAGCCGCGGCTCCAATTCATTAAATTCGGACTCTGGACAAATTTTCCTATATCTCCGTCAATTTTGAAGGTGCAAAAATGGTAGACCATATTTTGGAAAATGCGGAGACTGTATTGTTTTGATGTAAAATGTTTTAACTTGGATACTATTAAAATTGTGTTTAAGAGAGACAACATGAAGGCCTTCACTCAATTCACACGTTTTTTAAACATCCTGTTTTTAAAACGTTTATTTTTCTCTCACTCTCTTTCTCTCTATGATATGTTCTAGAAATTGTTCTTTTTATTGAGAATAAATATTTTTTATAAATAGTTTCACGCGCATTGGTTAAAAAATGTTTTTGTATCTTATTCTAAATCCAATTTTAATTCTGTTAAAAGTGCTTTACATTAAGATATTTAAACAAACTAATACATTGAAATGTAATTAGCTGCTATTTGTGTTATTGTATATTGAACAGAAGGTGCAATTTTTCAGATGGTTAATTTTTCCTGGAGGGTTCAACTTTAGGTATGCGGGAAACCTTCTCATGACTTTCAGAGTTCAAGCTAGGACTGGGAATCGTTCCTGGGGAACGATCTTTATTTCGCTAGAACGAACGGAATTATCAAGAACAAACGGAATTATTATGAACGATCCGATTGTGCTGGGAAAAAAAGAACGAACACATAGAACACGTTGCATTTTAAATCAGGAATGTGCAGGGGCGTATGAGAGGGAGCCTGGGTGCACAGGCCCCCCTTCGTGTGCCCCCCCCCAACTGGGAGGGGGACACACAAGGGGGGGGGCTCGTTAAATATAACATCTGGAGATCTGTTAAAAAAAAACTCGGATTCTTAAAGCTTACACCACAGTATTAAGAGGGAGTATCCGATGAGTCCACTTAAGAAAATTACATAAATAATTTATTAACACTCATGGAAGGGACCCTTCTTAGACTAAGAACACCAAGAACGGAACGGAACGGAAGGTGTATAACACGATTGAAAAAAGAACGAACGAGAAAGGAACAATATAGCTGCATGGAGGCCCTCGTTCTAGAATGAAACGTGCCCAGCCCTAGTTCAAGCGTCCTAATTGATGCCAAGAAAGGAATTTATTCAATTTAAGGCGAACACTCACAAAATTAAAGTGTACACCTTGGATATCAAGCCAAGTCGGTGGGGCTAGTTGCTGTGGAATACAAATATTTGCCCTGAGTTTAGTTAAATTGATAGAGAATGATTAGATAAGTTAGCACAGTTCCTAAAATACTCAACAGAGCTTGTCTTCCAGCAAAGAAATACCCATTTCCATCAAATCTCTCTTCTGCTTCAATTTTGGACAAAACTAAAAAAGAAATGGGATTTTATCGGTATTTTTCGGTATTTTGCAATTTTAGGGATTAAATGGTTATTAAGGATAACTAATTTTCAAGTTAAAATCATATTAGATCCCAAATCACATTAATCTCTCATGTGCAGATTTGAAATAAGAACAATGTAAGACGCATATCTATGAAAAGGGTACTTAGGATTTGATTGTAAATTCGTCATGTTTGAGTTAGTTGAATTATGAATTCCGATAGCAGGGAAAATTATAGTTTCAAAGTTTGTCAGTTTTTCGAGTTTTCAATAGTTATATATTTCAGCTTGGTAATTTGTTGGTATTTTTCCCCCTTATATTTTCAGTTTTTCAGTTTTTCAGTTTGTCCATTTGTTCGTTTGTCAGTTTATACCTTTGTCAGTTTGTCAATTTGTCAGCTTTTCACTTTTCACTTACAGTAAGGGCTGGGCGTTGTTCCTGGGGAACAATCGTTCTTTCGTGAGAAGGAATGGAATTATCAAGAACGCTCCCACTATTCCAAAAAAAGAACGAACACATAGAATGTCTTCTTAACAATATTGGAACAATTATTTAAAGAACGTACGTGGAACAATCGGAAGTTGCTTAAAAGGAACGTTAAAATCAGGAACACGTTCTTATCATAAGGAAGGCACTCTGGAAATTTGTTGAAAAAAACTTCAGATTCTTGATTTTGGAAGCAGTACTTTAAAGCTTTTCATTATCTTTTTTTAAAATTATCTTGTAAATTTCTTTTTTCATTTCTTCAAAGTTCACAAACTTACAAAGCAGTTTAATAATGCAAAAAAAGATTGGAAAAAGAACAAACAAGAAGGGAACCATCTAGCTGGAGGCTCTTGTTCTAGAACGGACCAGCCCTACTTACAGTTTGTCAGTTTATTTGTCAATCCATTTTAGAGATTTTAATTATACAATTCAAGTACAATGTACATATCCTTTAAACGAAATAAAAGTCTTTGAAAATAAAAAGGCTCATTGAAAACTCAGTTCATTTGTGAAGTACCAGGTCTGTACATAAAGAAAATGTATAATCGGGAAAGTGGCATAGTGCATAAAAACAACTTTAACCCAAATTAATTGCAAAATCAAAGAAAATATTTTAACCTGATGTAACACTTGCAGATTCATTTTTATTTCCTGTCACAAGAGTACTCCTTAAAGTAATTACTTTTTTTTACTAAACAAAATAATTATTAGGGAAATTCTGGTTTTTACAGTATATAATCACTGAGTCAAATTTTTCCAGACAGGATAATTCAAAAGTTTTTTTACAATTATTTAATAATCTGGTTGGAAAAAGTGACAAAAAACCTTTTTGGAACAGGTTAAGATATATAAAATTAACTCTTAACATAATAACCCATAAAAACATCTAATTATTATTATATGAATCCTAAATTTTTCTATTAAACTGCAGTATTAGTTCAACTATGTCACCTAGCCATGCTCTCCTTTTATTAAAATTCGATTTTTTTTTAAATGTGAAGCCAAAATTAAATATTATTATTTGAATTTGTATTCATTATCTTTCATGGTTCATTCCAAAGATTGAATATAAATATCTGTCACTGCCATTTAGAAACATACTGACCTAAGAGCATCATTTTTCTCATTCAGTTTGTCATAGCAATCATCAGCCACAGATGAAGTGTTAAAAAGCATTAGAACTGCTTTGATAGAGAATAGTATATAAACAAACATGTTTACGTCTGTTCTGGATTTAGAGTCCTGAGTCAACTCGTTTGATGCCTGATTAAAAGGAAGTCTTTATCTTTACATATAAAGTAATAATTTTTTTTTTTTAATTGTTTAATTGTTTTTTTGATGTCCAATCAAAACTCAAAAATCCCTTAACCGATTAGCCTTTAATTTTGATTGGAGAGTTTAGTATAACCACAGGAAAGGTCTCAGCATGTTTGTATTTTCTAAGTTGAGTGGGTTGACTTTTGTTGGGAAAACTTCAGACAAAGTTATAGGTTACCAAACTATAGTAAATAATGAAACAATTAATTTTAGGTTTTGATTTTAATGTTCCATAGAAAAAACTCTTAGGGAACTTCTAGCACTGTGAATGTTACTAAAAGTTAAATGTCCCAATTTCCCAAGTGACAACATTTAAAGGGAAATTTCCTGTAAACTTCCCAGAAAAACAATTTCCCTTCGGAAAATGTTTTAAATATTAATTTCTTCTGATGGGAAAGCAGAACTACACATTAAAATTCTAAAACCTAATAATGTACAATATTTTCAAACTTATTATTTACATTGTCTAAAGCCTTGCATATGAAGGCTTAACCTAAAAAATATGCACCACTGCCATTTGGAAAATTGTACTTTTGGGAAGTTGTCAATTCGGAAAGTGTTAGTTTAGGATGTACCTGAAATGACTCCATGATGAGGAAAAGTGTTTCAATTGAATACAAAATAAATATATATGGACTGAGTCCTTTTTTCAATGCTCTAAACATAGATAATGATTTTTCTGCTGACAGGATCAATTCTGCTGAATCCACCGTGGTGATATAGTTGTCAGTAACTGTGTTAACAACAAGAACAGACAGTACATTAACAATCAAAATTAGACAGAAGTAGATAATGTGAAATATCAAAACATCAACCTTACTCCAATATTTGACTGATGTAAGAATTACATTGATAAACAAGATGAGTCCTATCAGAAGAACTCCAACTATTCGTCGTGGTGGCTTGATCTGAACCATAAGGAGACCCGGCGTATTAGAGAGAAAATATCCCAGGACTATGGGTAAGATTAAATACAGTCCATTCATTCCCAGAAGAAGAGCCACAAAGGTGAACTGATAAGTGAAGCTGGGATTACTGGTGATCATTTTAATAAAGTTAGGAATCTGAACACCTAGAGTTAGAAATGGAAATTTAATCAAAACAGCATTATCTTGTGATTTACAGGTCATTATTATGTTAATTGTTAAGTATTGTCATTGAAATGTATTTTTAATTTGGTTTTAGTAAGGGTATATACTTTAAAGAATTACCCCAGGATTTTCGAAGATTTCCTAATATTAAACTGCAGATAAAATAGTTTTGAAGGGGGGGAATGGGGAAGAATATAATTATTATATATAGAGGGGGGAATGTCTGGTCAAAAAATGTATACCCCTTTACTGTTTAAATGGAATAAAGCATGTTTTAAACAGAAATAGCTAAATTAAAAGTTCTTATATGGATATATAATCTAAATAAATCTACAAAACTAAATGTGTCTTGATTGAAATACTGTTTTTTGGAAACCAAAAAAAAACTTCCAACCTACCTAAGGGTACCATCACCCAAATGATATAAAGAATAACTGACTTGAGGGATACAGGCCAAAACACAATGTTTCCGCTTCCATTTTGATGGGCTGTTGTCAATCGTAGGAAAAGTACTGTTCTTATAAGTTTTGAAATTGGTTGAGTATTTTCTGGCAAAACCATACCACCCTCCACCATTATGGTTCTCCTAATGTAAACTGACTAAATATTGGACCAGAACTAAACTAGGTGGGGTATGCAAACTCAATTGTTATATTACCTTGTTACTACAATTATTCACTTTGTGAATGTGTCATAACAAAAAATATATCCGACTATTCATTGTGAATTAACAGTGCTCTCTACACTTTTTTCTATACACTTGAAAATCAATAATGTGGAACACATTGTTTACCTAGTATGTTTACCAAGTAGAAATGTGCAGATAAATTTTGTAGAGAAACAATACAATTTCATATATAAACATTGGAATCCATTTCATGCTTAATCAGACAAAGCTTTTAAATGTACCATTGTGAATCAGACATTGCCGTCTTTGCATGGGTTTTTTTTTTAAAGTAGGCTTACGGTCCATTTAAAGCATTTAAATTATTTTTGACCAAAATATAATTATTCACTTTTTTCTTGGAAATTACTTAAATTAAACAAATATGGAAAAATTGTTGAAAATGTCAAATCTTGATTTTTCCATATGTAAGGTAAAAAAACCTATTTCTGGACATAACCAAACATTTCTTCTCTGGTTTAAAAAGGCTTTTAATGGTAAGGCTGAATAGTGTTGGCAATAATTTTTATTAGAATTTATTGAGATGTTATGAAAGTTTGCTTATCTATTTTAGATTGAAACTTTTATTATAAAATAAGGTAGAAAAAAAAGTTTCGTTTTATTCTCTGGTTGAACTAATAATGTTTAGAAATTGTTGTTTGATCACTTACAATTCAAGAAAATTGTTTTGGAAAAGATCTTGAAATGATAAAACCTTTATCCTTTAGGTTTGCGGAAGAACAGAAGGGGAACTTTGTGATCCAAGGAATCTATCATTTTTATCAAACTATCTTTTTTAATTTCATAAAAACTTTCTCTTAAGTTTATAATTAAATGAAAATATTTTCCATAATTAAACTGCTTACTGAGCAACCAATAGCTTACAAAACTTGCATCAAGCATAATATACATGCATCATCCAGTATATACCCATCAATTTATTGAGAAATATTTCCTTTAAAACAGAATTTTAACATGTTAATTTTCCCCCCTTTCTGATATATATTTATTATTTGTGTTGTAATTTCAATAAATCTCTAGATGCCAAATAAGAATTAAAATTCTCTCAATTTTTAAGCACTTTAATGATTTAAATTGACCCTCCATTTCAAGAGTAATATACCTGATTTTTGAAAATCTGCTTCACACCTTAGCTTAAGCAAAATGTTTTCTATCTAAATCCTGTCATATAATATTTGATCTTTAAATGATTTTGAATAATAAGCAGCAAGTATGGAGAGGTGGGTATGTGTGGAGACAACCTTGAGTGTAGGTTTTTCAAGGAAACTGATGAAAGTATCTGTATGTGCACTGAAGAAAAGGTAAATATTTCATTAAATATAGTTTAATTTTTTTTAAATTTATTTTTCAAAAAATTAAATTTTTTAAAAAGTATTTTTTAAATTCTATGGGCAATGCCAGGCACTTCAGCTAGTGTTTAATATCAAAGAAACTTATGGCTTATTTAAATTTCTTACTGAAAAAAATCTAAATTAGATTTTGTTTTTTTTAAACATAAAAAATACAATATTTTTTAGAAAGATCACTTAAACAAATGAAAATATTTTTAAACATTCAGATAATTACTTATCTCAGATTAGTTTTCATAAATTGAATTAATCCCTACTCACATGCTTTATATTACCACTACTCAAATATTTGTACCACTACAAAAAATCCAAACATTGTTTATTGTTACTTGACCAATTATTAGTTAATTCACATAAAGAAATAAATCTTACATGAACATCCAAGAAGAAAAATGCAAAATCAAAAAATTGGCTTGATTTGTAGGTTATGTAGCTCGGTGAGCGTATATTAGAGAAATATATGCAAAAAGCTAATTTTAGTTTCTCCTATGGTCAAATTTAGAGATAGAGCTTAAAAACATCTATGAATTTTCTTACAGCGTCATGATAAACAGATTTGGTAATTAGTTTATTAAATGTTCCCACTGAGTTTCTGCTATTTTCTACAAAAATCATCCAATAATTGTGAAAAACCTTGTGAGAAGCTGAAATATGCTTTTACACATATATTTCTATGCACATAAAGATATACAAACTACAATTCAAGCCAATTTTTGCTTTAGCATTTATTTTTCTTGGATGTTTACATGTTAGATTTGGTTCTCAATGTGAATTAACCAATATTTGGTCAGGGAAAAAAATACAATGATCAGATTTTTGTACAATTTGGTAAATCTTAAAAACCTGATATTTAAGTATCTAAAGCAAGTTTATACAGTGCATGCATTAAACATACATACCAAAGATAGCGAAATGGCAAAGGAGACCAAATAAATCATCCCCTTTTAGTGCAAGATTAATTAATTGACATTATTAACCATTTAACATTTTTTTGGTTCATTTTTCCATTGAAATTACAAGCAATTTTCTAAAAACGTCCAGGTTGTATACTTTGTAAGTAATTTGTCAATTTTTATAGAAAAAACTGCACTTGTTCAAAATGTAAATTTCTTAATGACATCATTTAATTTAGAATCAAACTGAAACATGTATTAAATATGTATATTCAATCCTTACTCACATGTTTTAGATTACCAAAGCAGAGGTTTTTAATATTTTAAAATTCTAAAATATTTGTTTAATCCTAATTCTGAACAAATTTTCCATGAAAACTAGACTTTAAAAACATACACTAATTTTATCTTTGTCCATCCATAATGTATCAATCTACAATCTGCCAGAATTATAAAATAACTCTTTACTCCTAGAAAATGCTGACAATCGAATAATGAAAAAAACTGTAATTTTCTTGAATCATCAAAAAAGACGATGATTTATCAAAAAAAAAAGAAAGTTTTGATCGTTTAGATGGTGTGTGGAAGTGATGGTGTAAGCTATGGAACTCCCTGCCAACTCAACCAAGAATCTGTGAGGCGATCAGCTGATCCACAGTTACCAATTCTTAAGTATGGCCGCCATTTTTAAAGTTTATTAGTGGATTTTTCAGTTTCATATTTATACCCTCATTTTAGTTTCATACCTTTACTTAAGTTTCTTATCCTTAATATTCAGTTACATATCCAAATATTCAATTTCATATCCAATTATTCAGCTTCATATACAATTATTCAGTTTCACATCCAATTAATCAATTTTATTTCCGATTTTTCAGTTTCATATCAACTATTCAGTTTCATATCCAATTATTCAGTTTCCTATAGGTTTTTAGCGAAATTTTTTTGTCTTTCGTTCGCGCGAGAAAAATGCGAAAAATTTTTGTTTTTATCTGTTTTGCAAAAAATGCGAAAATTTCTGGGGGAAATATGCAAAAATTTTGCGAAAAAAATCGGAAGAAAAATTATTAATTATGGTATACAATAAAACTTCTAATGCTGAGCTCTCAGAACAGAGAATTCCACATGTTTTTTTGTACAAATAATTGTTGCATCTACAACACTAATGGTTCTCGCGGAATTTTTTTTTCGCGAAAAAGTTTGAAAATACGCATGAACTTTTTTGCATTTTTTCGATAAGCTTGCATTTGCTGGAATCCCTAGTTTCATATCCAATTATTTAGTTTTAAAATTCGGTGATGGTAATGGACCAAACCTCTGTAGAGTAAAAAAGTAGATGTTAGTTCCACATTTATTGAAAACATATTTCGGTCTGGGTTGACCCTCGTCTGCAGTTCTTGAGATTGTTTCTGTCACAAAGATTAAAATTAAAAATTAAATAAATTATTTAGTTTCATATTCAATTACTCAGTTTCATATCCAATTATTCAGTAGTTTCATATCCAATTATTCAGTAGTTTCATATCCAATTTTTAAGTTTCATATCCAATTATTCAGTAGTTTCTTATCCAATTATTCAGAAGTTTCATTTCCAATTATTCAGCAGTTTTATATCCAATTATTCAGAAGTTTCATATCCAATTATTCAGTAGTTTCATAACCAATTATTTGATAGTTTCATAACCAATTATTCAATAGTTTCACAGCCAATTATTCAGTGGTTTCATATCCAATTATACAGAAGTTTCATAACCAATTATTCAATAGTTTCATATCCAATTATTCAGTAGTTTCATAACCAATTATTCAGTAGTTTGATATCCAATTATTCAGTAGTTTCATACATATTCCCGATTTCAATTTTATCGTTTCCTATTCTTATTTCAGTTTCAAATCCATTTTGACTGATTTTGTAACTGACAATTTTTCAAATTGACTGCAACAATCGCAAACTTTCTCGTAAAAATCACTCCTTGTCTACCATGTTAAAGTGACAAAAACAGGATTTAATGTATTTGAATGTATACGGTTTAGAACTCCACTTTTAAGTAGAGAGATACGTATTTAAGTTTTTTATAGATGTTTTTTATGTATGTTATTTAGAGAGTGTTTTTTCGACAGTTGTAAAGCGTCATTGTCTGAGAACTAAATGGATGAGTTTATTTATTTATCAATTCTTTTAAAGTTTTCTTATTTTAAGAGTTCCATTATATTGTTTTTAATTTTTAAACAGTGGAATTCGGTTAAACACCTACAGGGATTATACAACTTGTTTGTCTCGCCACCTGTCTAAAAAATCAACTTTTTAAAATTAATCTTTCCATTTCTTTTTTAAGAATTTGTAAATAAAGGTTATAGATTATCAAAGCTTTTAAAGCATTTCCCCACGGGCTTATACAAGAATTTCCAGTGGGAGTTGTTTTTAGTCTTTTAAACTGTCAAGGTGGAAGGGGGACATAAACATATCCTTTATTAAGATCTAAAACCCCTCTGGAAAACATATTACCACTTTATTTTATATTACCCCCTCGTAGCCCCCCCCCCCCCTTACAACGGTTAGAATACGGCGCCAAGCATCACAGCTTTCAATATGACTTTTTGAAATATTTGGACGAATTGGACTTGAAATATTTGCTTCACTTCTGTATGCCGAGTTCATTAGCGCCTTAATCAGGGCTCAGTCATGTGTTTATTGTCTATTCTGAACCAATAGAAATAGTATGGCGGTAACATCTATAATCTTTCTAACTATCTCATTATCCAATCAGAGTTATGAATCCTTCAATCGATAATCAGTAAATGGAAATATTTACTTCTTCTGAAGCTATACAAGCTTGGGAACCCAGCTTTCTTTCAGTTTTCCCTGTAAAAGTCAAACAACTCAACTTAGTAGGTTTAATCAGGCTAAGAACATTATCCTGGTTCTACCAAGTTCCTCAATCAAAATTTGTGGCCAATCGGTCCAGGGGTTCCTGAGTTATGATCGGACATCCAAACAGACAAACAAACATTCAAGCAGAGATTACTACTGTATATATATATATGATTAATTTAACTTCCAGGATGGAATATTGGGGACCATGTAAAGAATCTCCAGTGATAATATCTCCACCATCCGACACCTACGGACCTAAGGGTAAATATTTTTGAACTTTTTATAGACAAACTCATTTTTATTACATTCTAAGTATCACTGTACCCATAGTAAACATGGTTAAAAAGTAAAGTGCAATGCATTTAGAATTAAAGCAATTACTAAAATCTAATTGTTCTTTGTTTACTAATAAAACTAGTTTTTGTGCTGCATTGCATCTAAATTTCTTAAACATCACAGTTAAATATAAACTACTTAGAACTATGCCCTTTGGGAGGAGGAACACCCCCCCCCCTTTTCCTAATCTAAAAATTTGGGGAAATTTTGAAAGGGGACAGTTTCTAACCCCTATAATCCTATTTTAAAGAATGGATTCCAAAAACCTTACTTCAAACATTCTTGAAATTGTTAGTAGTTTATAGTAATAATACCTAACCCCAATTTCTATTTCTAGGTGCGAATTTAACTCTGAATTGTGAAGCTAAAGGTTTCCCTGCTCCTATAATTACATGGCAGTATGATAGTATAGAGGGTAGAACTATATCACTACCCAGGTACTATAAAGGATATCCTACTATTACTATTACATGGCAGTATGATAGTATAGAGGGTAGAACTATATCACTACCCAGGTACTTTAAAGGATATCCTTCTATTACTATTACATGGTAGTATGACAGTATAGAGGGTAGAACTATATCACTACCCAGATACTATAAAGGATATTCTACTATTACTATTACATGGTAGTATGATGGTATAGAGGGTAGAACTATATCACTATACGCAATACATAGTTTTTATCCACAAAGAGAAAAACTTATCCAGAGTTTGGAAGATTACTATTACATGGCAGTATGATAGTATAGAGGGTAGAACTATATCACTACCCAGGTACTATAAAGCCAAGCATCACAGCTTTCAATATGACTTTTTGAAATATTTGGACGAATTGGACTTGAAATATTTGCTTCACTTCTGTATGCCGAGTTCATTAGCTATAATAATAATAATAATAATAATGATAATGATAATATTTTGTGAAAGTGATGACCAGATGATTTCTGTCCAAATGCGAGGTGGGCCTGAACCTATGATGGCAACAGGTAAAAGAATCCCACAATTTTAAAATGAAAAAAAAAACTATGAAAAGGGACACTGAACCACCGCCCCCCCCCCTCTATTTATACTCCCATGGGCCATCTTTGTACAAATCTACCAAATCCATATTTTTTCACTGTTTAGAAAAATACCACTGAACTAAACACTCGTGAGTTCGTCTCCGAATATGAAATTAAAGGCCGACGGTAAAAGGATGCAAAGATATAAAGATTATAAACTAGAAAATGAGGAGAGAAATTATTCCATATGAAATTGAGTCTTTGCCACAAACTCAAATTTTCCCATCTATGCAACTACAACATTGCATGGATATAGGGATTAGAAATAATTTTTTTGTGGCAAATTATTGTCATAGTTATTAATATTAGTTTGAGATACAGATTAATTGGAATTAAATGATTTGATTAATTTTTTCATTTTAAAAATGTAAAATATTAATTTCATGATTATTTAGTTTAACATTTAAAATTACAGATTGATCCTCGAGAAAATGATTTTAGAGTTATTAAGTGATATATTTTTGAAATCTCATGGAAATCATTTCTTGGAAGGGAAACAAAAATTGAGATTAAGCATTTCCCTCAAATCTAAAAGTTGTCACATGGATATCGAGATCAAGTTTTGTAGATTAGTACTATTCACTAAAAAGTGTTAACCTCTGGAGGATAAAAAAAAATGTTATATAAATTTATTGATTATTAATTATATAAATCTAGGATGGGCACAAATAATCTCCCTGGACCCAAGTTACAGGTATTCAGCGTTTGCAAATTCATAAATTAAATGTCGACATTTTTTAAAATCATTTTAACTAATGGAAATGTGGAGTCAAACAATATAGAAATCCAACGTATAGCAACAAGGCGTATTTTCCGGGAGAACATTTTTTATATTTTTGAGAAATTAAATAATCAGTGTAAAGTAGATATAATTTTCATTAAATCCTTTTATTTAAATGGTAACACGGAATTTTATGAAATCATATTAGCATTACTAGAGAACTTTTTTGTATATTTTTGATAAATTTTTTTGTAAAAATAAAACTGTTCATATCATTTTCATAATATAGATTTTTCTTTTTATTAGTAACATGCAATTTTATGTAACCATATAATCATTAATTTATGTCAGGACATAATAAACTCTGGGGGAACCTTAAACACAATAGAGAGCAGTACAAATGCATATTAATCTAGTTAGTTGTATAGTGTCTAGGGTATATTAAAAAAATAGAAATAATGACAATGATAAGCTACAATGTTTTACAAAAACGTCGTCTAATTTCTCAAAAATATAAAAAAAAACTCCCGGAAAATACGTTGGATTTCTATGATGTTTGACGTCGTAAATGTAGCACACTAATCATAATAAAACATGAATTATTTATATCAAATGTTTGAATAATGGAAAACGATATTTGTTTCGATTTTGTGTGACCTTTTACGTTGGTTGCAATAAAAGACAAAACTAATAAAGTTTTTAAAAATTTATTTAATTCAGTGGAGTTTATCACTGCATTGCAAGCAATAGCGAAGGAAAAGTTCATGCAAGGTAATTAAAATCAAAAATGATGGGGAAATTCATAGGTTGTTGCATTTTTTAACTAAAAATTATTTTTTATTTAGATGTTCTATAAATATTTTATTATCTTCTTTTTTAGTGCTACTGTTGGAGTTTATAGAGAAGAAATGTAGATAATCCTAAATTATCCTTATCCTTATCCTTATTAGTATCTTTATCCTTATCCTTATCCTTATCCTTACACTTTACTTATCCTCATCCTTCTCCTCATCCTTATCCTTATCCTTATCCTTATTAGTATCTTTATCCTTATCCTTATCCTTATCCTTATCCTTATCCTTATTAGTATCTTTATCCTTATCCTTATCCTTATACTTTACTTATCCTCATCCTTATCCTTATCCTTATCTCTATCCTTATCCTTATCCTTATTCTTTACTTATTCTTATCCTTATCCTTATCCTTATCCTTATCTTTATCCTTATCCTTATCCTTATCCTTATCCTTATCCTTATCCTTATCCTTATCCTTATTAGTACCCTTATCCTTATCCCTATTTTTAAATATTGTAAAATCAGAAATTGTTTAATAAAAAATTCGATATTTAATTATTTTAATATTTTTTCCGATACATATTGAAAAACATTTTTATAAAGATATGTTTATAATTCTCATGTAAATATGGTAACATCCCAGAAACTGTTGTCAATTTTTGAGCAAAAAATGTTGGGATTTTCAATTTTTAAAACTTGTTCTGTTCTGTTCTGTATTTATTATGAAACTTGTCTTATGTAAAAAAGAAAAAACACTGTATTTCAACCGACTTAAACCGGATTTCCTCATCAGCATCTCAGCATCTCTGATTTAGAAAAGGAAGTTTACTTCTGATTAAGTTCTCTATAAAGGAAGTTTCAGCACAAGTACCCAATATACTTGAAGTATGGGGGTTAACAGTATTTTAAAAGGAAATAATTGTTATGTTCTACGGTATTATTATCATTATTATTATTATTATTATAGGTTCCTTTGACAGTATATCGTGATTCGTGAACGTTCCTAAATTAGAGCTTTTGATTAGAAAATAAAATGACTAAATTGTTATGTGCAAAAAAATAGTGTATCTCTTACTTGGTATAAATAAAAGTTAGAAAAGTTCCCAAACCAATACGCAGTAAATCTAAAAAGATTAACATTTTTTATGTTGAGTCAAAGTCTATACTTGGGAAATGAAGATTTAAATTTCCTCTATTGGAAGAAAAGTTATGATCTCAAAGCTTTGTTTTTTAACGTAAAACTAAAATAATTTAATAATAAGCTTATTTCAATTATATTTCAGTAATTTTTTTTCTCCATTTTTAAATTAGCACTCTGCAGTTTAGAGATAAGTAGAATGTAGATTTCTGAATTCTAATTTTGTTTCTGAAAAACAAAGAATTGTTTTGTTGTGTTGTTAATTGGATTTCCAAATGATAAATTTCGTTTGAGAACATTTTTTTATGTTTCAATTTAAAGATTTTATCTATTTTTGTTGTAAATAAAGTTGATGGGATAAAGAAAATAAAGAAAAATTGAAAATACAAGCAAAGAAATGGGAGTTAATGTAAAATATTCTGATGCGTACAAATACAACAAAACTCAGTTCGATGCAATTAATAACATGTGGGTTGTGTTTGAATTTAGTGGAAGAAAGGTCTGAACTGACCGCTGCAGAAACCCAATCAGCTGATTCGACCTCGTGACTATTATTATTTCAAGTTGATCAGACTCCGACATCAGTTGATATTTAACTCTGATGCAAGATACATGTTTTTATAAACCTAATAAGTTGATCAGTTGAGGTTTAACTCTAATATAGGATACATCCCTAAATATCTATATATAATCTATACTATACCATCTCACCAGAGCGAAAGATATTTCAATCCCCGCAGTAAATTCTCTAAAGCATCTAGAGAATGAGTGGAAATACAGGAGAAGATAATCCTACAGCTTTAGACACTGTGCATAAACTTATTGGAAAATTGGAACATCTGAAGGAAATCATCGGTACTAATTCTAATCAAAGGTGAGGTTTTACTTTTATAACATAGTAGCTTGGAAACCTAGCTTTACCCTAACGTTTCCTGATAAAACCAACCCCACTTAGAATTTAAAAACTGAGCTGAGGCTATTCCTGTGGGTTTCCCGAGTTTCCCAATCAAAATTAGAGGCAAAGTGATCAAAGGGTTCCTGAATTATGATCGGACATACACACAAATAAACAAGCAATTTACTACTTTATATACATAGAAATTCAGTTTTGAGAATCCAAAATGATTTTGATAAATACATTAAACCCTATTTAATTTAAACTAATTGAGTCAATATTTAATTCTTAAATAATCTTAAGAATGTGAATTGTACGATTCTCAACAATTTCCTTTAAAGTTATGACGAATAAATTTATGCTTTTCTGCCTGAAAATCTATAATCTATAATCTATAGTTGTGGTTTCTCATTAAAGTTAATTGCGGGGTAATGCGACAGAGAGCCATAGAATTGAGGATTTGAATTAAAATAAGTTAACACGTTTTAGGATAAAAAATCTATTAAACCTTCCTGATTGTGTAAAGGGTACCATTGTGAATTGAGCATGCACTTCTTAAATTAAAGGGACACTTGAAAAAACGTTGAGAGACCCTTTAAGGAGTTAAATCGTAAATAAAAGACATGTGACATTTTCATTTTGCATTAAATAAAATAATGCATTAGACATTAATTCTATAAATGCATTTATTTTTTTGTGGTTAGAAAACATTTTAAATTGTTCAGTTAAATATATTTATTAATTTCTTTAAGATATACATGTAAAAGGGGCCACGGCCCATATTATCCTTCTTTTTCTTTAACTCACCCCTGTATATTATCATCAGCACTGATGATAAGAAATCCTTCAAAGAAATATACAAGTTTAAATTTATTTGATTATGATTTATAAAAATTATATAAATTTCCCGAGACACGTGTTCAAGACGAGTTTTCTTTAATAAATGATAGTTAAAAGTCCATTAAAATTTTATATATTTATCATGAGCTTTGTTTGTGAGGACAGCACCTTTGGTCTGAAACCATGGAAAAGGAGAATTCACATAATTTTTGGATTAATTGTTTAATTGTTGCCATCATGCAATAACATTAGTTTATCTTAAACACATCTTCCTTGGAGCTAATTTTACTCTTAAAATAAACCCCTGTAAGAAAATTTAGTATTAATATATTTCAAAATTTTAGGGTCCGTCCTAGTGAACGATTTTTGGACCCCTTCCCCAGCCCCCCCCCCCCTTCTATCAATTTTGTACATGACGAAATTAGTAAATTTGTATTTTTATTATTATTTAGGGTTAGGTTTATATATATAATATCATATATATAACAGAAGACAGAAGATAAATGCAATAATTGTGTTGTAAATTGTAATGATAATTTTTGGATCGTGTCTCCATTTTTTATCATTTTAGGACTAAATATATTGCAAAGTTTGATAAAAGAACTTTTACATAATAGAGTTAGAGAAAAAAAAACTATTCAAACCGATTAACAACAGGTGTACGCAGCGTTTACTAAAGTCGGAAAATTCTTGATTCGTGGGTTTTTGTTCTAATTTTCTTCTTTTTCAGGTTTGAGAGCTCCCAACAGGAGAACCTAGAGTACCAGGAGTTTGCAGGAGATACGTCATACGCTTTCCTCATCAGCTTCATCATCATCGCCCTCCTCGCTCTCCTCGGGTTCTTCTTCAAGAAAAAGATCATCTCCTGCCTCGACAACATCAAAGAGACGGATAGGGAGGACAGAGGAAGGATCTTTGTTGAGAGGGCTTAATCATGACGCAAAATTTTAGCTTTTATGACGCATTTGCGTCATTGTGGTCTAAAACCATACATGCTTGAGGGCGACTGATCTGTTATGTTTATGACGAAGTGCTTTTACTGATTCTAACACTGAAGCCATTTTAGAGGTTAAGTTTCCTGATAAGTCAAATATTTTGTTTTTAAATACTTTTGTTGCATTTTTGTGGTATATTGTATATTTGCAGGTTTAAATAAGTTGATAAAATGTAAATAAAGAATTAGATTTTATCAATAAAATGTTAGTTTAAAGGGACTGAAACGTATTTTTATGTTTACCATCTATGCCCAATTAGAAAGCTGCCCGAGCACACATTATGTTCATGTTTATTATATTTTGTATTTAGTTATCGCCATTTTCTTTTGCATTGTTGTTTTTGAATGAGACTAAACTATATATGAAGTTAATAGAAATACTACTTTTTTGTCGATCAAATTCGGTGCAGTTTTCAATATTACATACATAATTGACAGATTAATAACCGCTAACACAGAATCACAATAAAAAAGGGGAAAAACGAAGAAATTGGAATATTTTTGTTTGAAAAAATTATGATTATTACATCTGAAGGAAGTTTAAAGTTTTAAAATGATCAAAGTACAATCTCAAAGCTAGACTGGTCATCGTTTTGCGACCCGTTTCAAAATATTTAAAGTTTAGACTTTTTAGAGACTCCACAAGAATTTGAGATTTGAGATTAATTTTCAAAATTTCATGCAAGACTGGTCTGCTTTTATTACATTATGCAAAATTTTTATTCTGAAGAAAGGTATTACTCTTCACCAAAACAATTTTGTAAAAATCAATTAGAAAACATTTTTCGATTTGAAAAAACGTTTGGTTTATATCTTTGATGAAATCAAAGAAATGTGATCAAAGATAGTTCATCGAGAATACAATTTTGCAATTCAATTAATTACTCGCATTCTTGTAAAACACTGTTAGCGACAAAAAAATGTCTGAAAACGATGCACAGAACTACCCCTGAGCTAGATGTGATGCACAGAACTACCCCTAAGCTAGATGTGATGCACAGAACTACCCCTGAGCTAGATGTGATGCACAGAACTACCCCTGAGCTAGATGTGGTGCACAGAACTACCCCTGAGCTAGATGTGATGCACATCACAACCCCTTTTTGTAAAAAATTCTTTTGAAATTTTTCAATTGAATTTTCCCTCCCACTATTCACACTAAAGTGAGTTGGCTAGCATCAGAAATTTAAATAATTTTTTTAAGTGGATGCACTTTCTTTCCTTTATAAAGGAGATAAATAACAACATTTTAAATTTAATGAGAATAAAATTACTGAAAATAGAATTCTTGAAATATCTACATTCTCCATGAATAAAAAGAATAAAATTCATGAAAACAAAATTCTTGAAATACATCTTCCAAGTACATGACTAAGATGAATGAAGTAAAAGCTGACAAAAGATTTTATTGTTCAAAATAAATTTGATATTTAGACCTTCAACTTTTTTTCTTTTTTTATGTAGTTTCACAAACATCTCGAATTTAAACATAATTTTCTATACAAGTGTATTTTTATTAACTGATTTAAAACTTTCACACCTATATAGGCATGAAGAAACCAGAACAGTAGTTCGTAACAAACTTTTGAAAAATCGTTCGGGCCATAAATGTTGTCATAGTAAAGTTTTGTCTCATATAATAAAGACAAACTTTCCGATTAGACTAGTTTTATGAAGCACCTTGTCAAATAACATTTAAATATTGGAGGAAACGATGCCCATCTCTAGATGTGTATATGGTTTAGTACATATCTATTGATGCCCATCTCTAGATGTGTATATGGTTTAGTACATATCTATTGATGCCCATCTCTAGATGTGTATATGGTTTAGTACATATCTATTGATGCCCATCTCTAGATGTGTATATGGTTTAGTACATAATTATTGATGCCCATCTCTAGATATGTATATGTTTTAGTACATATATATCGATGCCCATCTCTAGATGTGTATATGGTTTAGTACATATCTATCAATGCCCATCTCTAGATGTGTATGGTTTAGTACATATCTATTGATGCCCATCTCTAGATGTGTATATGGTTTAATACATAATTATTGATGCCCATCGCTAGATATGTATATGTTTTAGTACATATATATCGATGCCCATCTCTAGATGTGTATATGGTTTAGTACATATCTATCAATGCCCATCTCTAGATGTGTATGGTTTAGTACATATCTCTCGATGCCCATCTCTAGATGTGTATGGTTTAGTACATATCTCTCGATGCCCATCTCTTGATATGTATATGGTTTAGTACACATCTCTCGATGCCCATCTCTAGATGTGTATGGTTTAGTACATATCTCTTGATGCCCATCTCTAGATGTGTATGGTTTAGTACATATCTCTCGATGCCCATCTCTTGATATGTATATGGTTTAGTACACATCTCTCGATGCCCATCTCTAGATGTGTATGGTTTAGTACATATCTCTTGATGCCCATCTCTAGATGTGCATGGTTTGGTACATATCTATCGATATTATATCTTTTCATGAAGATTAAATTTATAGGCTTAGGACGACTTTAAAGTAAATTTCAATTACTATTTCGAAAATATAATTCAACTTTCTTTATTTTTGCTAATTCTATTGAAAATGTTGAGCAAAATAAAATAAATTTTTTTAAAAACTTTTGACTCTCCCGTTTATGCACTCTGCACTCTTATCTCATCAGAAGATAAAAAATAAGAAAATTTTAATTTAGTATTTAAAACTATATGTTTAGTTTAATATATTGTTAATTAGCGTAGTTATTAATATTTAGAATTGAGGTGAAATTGACGTAATAGGTTTATCAAGTAACATTAACAAAATTTGTTAACAAAGGACTGAATTTTTTTGCTGTAAAACAGCAATCGTGCAATTTACACTGAACAATGTGCATTGTACATAGACTCCACGGACCCAGTTTACACTGTACAATGTACATAGACTCCGCGGCCCAGTTTACACTATACAATGTACATAGACTCCACGGCCCAGTTTACACTGTACAATGTACATAGACTCCACGGACCCAGTTTACTTTTATATTGATAATCCCTTTAATATATTTAATTATATTGACAATCCTTCAATGGATCTAATTATGTTGATAATCCCTTTAAAATAATTAATTATATTGATAATCCCTTTGATATATTTAATTATATTGATAATTCCTTTAATATAATTAATTATATTGATAATCCCTTTAATATATTTAATTATATTGGTAATCCCTTTAATATATTTAATTATAGTGATAACCCCTTTAATATATTTAATTATATTGATAATCCCTTTAATATATTTAATTATATTGATAATCCCTTTAATATATTCAATTATATTGATAATCCCTTTAATATATTAGAAAGTAAAATGATGGAATTAAAGAAAGAGTTAACTCTGTTTTATATTTCCTTTATAATATACTGGGCCTGGTATATACCTGTAGACCAACCAGGCAAATATTTAATGTATATATTTTTAAATAAAATATTTTTTCAAGTTTACCAATTTTTAATGATCAATTTGGCATTAATTTCATAAAAATGTCTTCAAAATATTTTTTTAGAGAATGTCCAGAGCACGTTTTCATAAGTATGTCTATGTTTAACCAATTAAGAAATCCCTACGAACAAAAGTCTAAAGAAAGATTGAAAAGAAAACATTGAGAATTAAGTATGATTTGTGAAATTGTTCATCAAAAACGTTTAAAAGACTCGTTTTTAAAAGTTATAGAACCATTATAAAATAACGCAGGTTTCTGTTTTTCTAAGATTTTGCTCCGAAACGTATGACGAAAGAACATTTTAAGTAAAAGTATGTTTATAAACGTATTTATGTTCTTTTCTGTCAAGTTTACAAACTAGAGACTTTTCCCTCTTCAATAGATTTAAGTTGCAACTTGTTTCCACTTCTTTTCCAACAAGTATGAAAATTATTACATTTTCCTAAAGTTTGCATGAATGATAAAATTCTCTTTTCCCATTGATAGAGGCACAACTGAAACAAAATTAATGAGGGGGGGGATATTTTGTTTTGACATACATAAATAAAATGAAACTGTTAATTATTTAATTGTTATAAGTATTTAAATTGTAGGTGAACAATGTTTTATTTCATCTGGGACCGAATTTAATGAATTGGAGAGATCGCAGAACTACCTGCCACCGGTTCAAATCCTTAATCATCGTTTCAAGCCTTTTCGTGAATCTTTAACTTTGAATCAAGGATTTGGGATTTGAACCAGTTCTGCCAATGCAGTTCATAAAATTATGTTCCAGTTCCAGTAATTTTCATTATTTTATTTTTACAGGTATTTTGACGATGCTTATAAAGGTAAATCTTAAAAAGTTCTTAAACATAATTAATTGTAATTTTTACCATTTGTATTAAAAGCACAACACATGTAATTTTTTTTATGTGAAATGTAAAATTACAAATTCAATTTATAAAAAAGTAATAAAAAAACAGCATAAATGTGCAAGCAATTCAGGCTTAAATTTCTAAATACAAAATTAAATTTCATTTCTTTTGGATATTTCTCTATAATATTCTTATAGTATCCAAAAGATAGAAAAACAAACGAAAAAAAAAATTTTCATCAAACGTTCGTTTTTAGTTTGTGTTTAGAAGTGTTTAGAATAATCAATTTTTAAAACATTTGGAATAATCAAGTTTTAAAACATTTGTTAAGTTCTTTTCTAGAAATTTATAACTCTATTCTAGAAATGTATAACTCTATTCTAGAAATGTATAACTCTATTCTAAAAATGTATAACTCTATTCTAGAAATGTATAACTCTATTCTAGAAATGTATAACTCTATTCTAGAAATGTATAACTCTATTCTAAAAACTAAAAATGTATAACTCTATTCTACAAATGTATAACTCTATTCTACAAATGTTCTATTCTAGATATTCCCAACTGTATCTCTGTATATTGGTATACGTTTACAAAAAGATTGCAATACCTACCAAACTTATCTATCATTTGGACTTCTTGCTTCAGGTTCCCGTTTTACAAAAACAAATTATTTTTAAGTTTAGAAAAAGTTAGAAATAGTTTGTTACAGCAAAAGTTAGAAAGAAAATGTACGTTTGATGATAATTGTTACACAACGGGAGTATAAGGAAGTTTAAATGGTTAACAGTTATTATAGGAAAAGAAGAATATGATATTTATAAAAAAAGGAAATGAATTGTTTCCACAATAATTTTACAATTCCTATATCTTTGCAACCCAATGTCGAAACATCATTTACATCATAATTGGTTGCAGAGATAAAAGAAGGTACTAGAAAATTTGAGTTTGTAGCAAAGACTCTTTTCCTTACTAAAATTTTTTTTTTTTTAAATATCAGAAAGTTAAAAAGAAAAAAAATTACTGCTCGCAAAGACTAAGTGCAAAGCTACGAAGTTGGTAAACACCAGTATATATATAATATATGTACTATAAAATCTTTTTTGAAAGAATTATATTTACAGTTACAGTTACAGTTTCCTTTTTTGTGTATATATCCAGGCTAGATTTGCAGATGACCTCCAGGCCCCGCGAAACCGTCTCCCTGCCTCTCACTACGTCACCAAGTCTCCGGCATTTTGTCTCCACGCCCTACATTTTGATCTCCGCTTACTATTTTTATTTTTTGTTTGCCTTTTATGGCCCTTAACCAACCGAAAATCAGGGGCGTACGAGGGCTTTTGTTTAGGGGGGGGCACAACATTTTTTGGTCCCCCCCCCTTGGCAACATTGGTCCCCCCCTTAAAAACCCCTTTTTTGAAAAAATATTAATACCTTTTTTAAATTTTTTTGCCCCCCCTCTCCCACCTGGACTTATTTTGTTCACCATAAAAATACACCCAAAAGACTACTTTTTTGGGTGTTACTAACCTTAGAGTCTAAAAATTATTCCTTTGCTTGAAAAACTAACTTTTGGACTTTATAAATTTATCACTTAACTCCATCACAGCATCATTAAAAATTATATTTTTATGAATAAACGAAATTTCTTTTTAGATAGAATTTACTCAATCTAAATTTTAACCAAATCTTTTAAGCTACAATTTTCTGGGATTTGCTTGCACAAACATTTCAATGATTTTTTTCAGTAGAGAGCTCAGACAGCCTTATAGGGTGTAAAGCTATAAGTGCAAGATCGTTAAGTCTGCTCTCAGTCTCCGTCATAGTACATCTTGTGTAAAGAAGTATTCTCTTTAGAAGGGGAAAACTTTTCTCTCCTTGTATTAACAGTGAATTTAGACAAATCCTTAGTCTTTGTCATTGCCAGGTGTTACTTTCTAAACGTAGTTTCCTTTTAATTTTGTATTTTTGGAACTCCCAGGGGGGGCAAGAGAACTACTGCCCCCCCTGGTACACCACTGTGCCTGACCTGAGGAAGGGAAATGCAAGCAGATGTAATATTAAAAGAGCCTCCCCCATGGATGCCCCCCCTCAGCCTCTCAAGGGGGGCACGCGTACAGGGGGGCGGGGGGGCGCGGCCCCCCCTCTACGCCCCTGCCGAAAATCTAAATATATCTATTCAGAGTGGACTTTGCAATAGTTTAAAGAATTGTTAATCAACAAATTTTAAATATTAATTCGTTCAATTGATCCTAAGTTGTTTTTTTTTGTAAAAAGTTTGTACATAAGCTGTTATGCATAAAAGACGACCTTTATAAACGACTTTAATATCTTTGAAGAAATAATGATTTTAAGATTATACTAACTCATAGAGTCCTTAGCATTAAATTTAATCATAAAAATGAAAATTAATGAGGGTCCTTCCTATATTAATAGGTATAGCGACAGATAGATGATTGACCAAACAGGTCATTTTGCATATCTAGAGGCACGGAGGTCAATCTATCTATATCCCCTCCCTCCCAGCTGCCCCTAACTTAGTTAAAGATTTTTTTAAGGGGGGGGGTTGGTCACATAGGGTTAAAAACGAGGAGGTGGGCGAAGCCCTCCTACATTGCAAAAAAATCACTTAATTTATCGTTAATTTGGATCTTGCAGGAGCTAGATATTCATAAACTCTGTAATAATAGTTATTAACGATATCTCAAGCAAACGATCTATCTTTCTTTATGTTCATTTAATCATTAATTTTTATTGAGCAACACAATCAAATTGTGTGATGTGTATGTGCAGTTAAAGTAAAGTAATAACTTCCACAGAAAAAAATAAAATAAAACGAAAGATGTTCGAACCCAAATCAATCAATCAATCATACGAGAAAAAGAAAAAAAGACGCGTCACATGCACATTTCATGATTCTGTAAATACTTGAATCTGATTGGTCGGGAAAACATTGGTCTCTTCCCTCATTGGTTTTCAATTTAGAGAATAAAACGATTGCGAAAATTGAAGAACATTGAATGTAAAACCAGCCACATGGAAGAAGAAGACTTGTAAGTGACGAATTTATGTGAAATCCTGTTTTCATTTATATTGTCCTCATGTTTTGACAAATGATAACGAGAAAGAAATATACCGGGCCGGGTTTAATATATACGAAAGTACATTTAGCCAATTTGTGGTGAATTATTTAGATTGATGAAAACGGTTATGGACAAGTCTGTTTAAAAACGATTTTTTTCGACATAATGATGCACGAATGGTAAATAGGTATTTTCCTAGTATAGATATTTGGGGGTATGTCCTCCCGGCCAGAAATTGTATTTACCTAACCTAACCCTGAAATAATACAAAATTTATAGACCCTGAAATAATACAAAATTTATAGGAGTAGGTGGGGGGTATCGCTCTAGGACAAACCCAATATATTTATTTAGTACTATTTCAATGTTAGGTTAGGACATGGTTAGGACAATTTCTTGGCCGCGCACTGCGGCTAGACATGCGAGGCGGCCGAGCTCTGCGGCCAGGACAGACCTTTAATTTCAATAATTTTCAGCTGAACTAGTATATACTCAGGGTTAGGTTAGGTTAAGACACTTTCTTGGCCGAGCGTTGCGGCTGGGATAGGCTAGGGGCCAATTCATGTCTGTCTTTTGTAAACCTACCTAAAAATCGATAAAAAATATATTAAAAATTGATAAGTCGTTCTCCTGGGAAATAACCGATTTTCGACCCCCCCCCCCATCAATTTTGTACGTAACACATGGATATAATTGGTAATGTGGTCGCAGCGCCAGGCCCCCAAGCCTGTCCTATCCGCGGCGCTCGGCCTTGAAATTGTCTTAACCTAACCCTAAGTAATACAAATGAATAATAATAATAAAGCTAAAAATTAGTGGTTATGTACAAAATGGTTAGGGGGGGGGGGGGGGTCCAAAAATTGTACTTTAGTACGGACCCAATGATTGATCACAGTGTTACTTTCAAGCTCAGCTTCTTATTTTAAATGATCCTGGTAAAATATATCACCTATCCAAGAGAAATAAATCTTAAAATGCATGGAAAGAAAACTTTGCCAACAGATTTGAGGATTTATTTCAGACTAAAGCATGCCCCCGAAAAAGGGTAAGAAGGGAGGGAAAAAGCAGGATGAAGATTGGGGGGATGATGATAAGACTATTGAAGAGAAGATGACGAATTTGATAATGAACGATGACAGGGATAACAATTCCGACGAGGAAGAAAAGAAACCTGAGACGAAAACTGCGCCGGTAATATGACAAACCCTTTTCCAAGATGTCTTTTTACTCATTATTTTGGAGTAAAGCAATTAGTTTTCTATACTGTTATTACATATGAATAACATAACAGACTTAAAAATGTAGTATTATTGGTTGGATAATGAGTATGTTAAGTTTTATAATAAGTATGTTAGGTTTTATATTAATAATGTTAGGTTTGTTAATGAGTATGTTAGGCTTGATAATGGGTATGTTAGGTTTGATAATGAGTATGTTAGGTTTTATAATCAGTATGTTAGGTTTTATAATGAGTATGTTAGTTTTTATATTAAGTATGTTAGGTTTTATAATAAGTATGTTAGGTTTTATAATAAGTATGTTAGGTTTTATAATAAGTATGTTAGGTTTTATAATAAGTATGTTAGGTTATATTAAGTATGTTTGGTTTGATAATGATAAAAGCTAGAATAAGAAATAGATGCTATTTAAACTAAAATCAATCATTGTTCAGTCCAGCAAGCCTAAGAAAATGAGCAAAAAGGAAAAGGCCAGAAAAATGGCGGAGAAAATATTGACGGAAAATTCGTCGGAGGACGGTGACAGCGACTCCGAAGAAAGCGTAAAGAAAAGCAAAAAGAAAGAAAAAAAGAAAGATGACTCTGATGAAGATGAAAATACCGGCAGCGACCAAGAAAGTGATGAGGAAGATGAGAAACAAAAGAGTAAAGCGAAAACGCTAACACACAAGGAAAAGAAGGCGCTTGAAAAGAAGAAGAAGTTTGAGGCGGAGATGGACAGAATCACCAAGAAGGGCGGTGAGGGTCACTCCGCCTTGGATGCAAATTTCACAGTTGCGCAGGCATTCAAAACAGGGGCTGCGCTCACACAGGTTAGTACTTAATACATATTCATTGATTATGTAGAATATTAATTTGGAAAAGCTAGTAACTAGTAAATACCAAATATTTATCAAATAAATATAAATTGAGCTTTTAAATTAGATCCGCTGAAGATTTATAAGTAGCCAGCTTATATCTCCAATTGAGATTTTATATATATTATCTAATCTATTATGTATACAATGATAATAATGATACCTAACCCTATCCTTGTCTGGAAATAATCCTGATATTACAACTCTAAAAATCTGTACTTAAATTAGATGGAGAACGCTGTGGATATAAAGATTGACAAGTTCTCTATTGCCGCGAAGGGGAAAGATTTATTCACCAATGCCAGTCTTCTCATCGCTCAGGTTGGTTAAGAAGAGAATTAAATAATAACGTTATGAAGTATGAATTGAAAATATATGAAGTAGTAATCACTGTTTGTTTGTCGGATGATAAATCATGATCCTCGTGACCGAGATGCCTCAGATTTTATTGGGGAAACTCAAAAGAACCAAAGAAATGTTTTATTTTTAATCTATATTTATTATTTAGGGTAGAAAATATGGACTTGTGGGTCCCAATGGTCATGGTAAAACAACCCTTCTTCGTCATATAGGAAACCGGTAATTATTTCTGACTTAAGTATGTATCTTCCAAAATTGAGATCACATCGCCCATCCTCTCCCCTATTGTAGTTTTTTAGTGGGAAATTGGTTTTTAAATCTTAAAACTAGATAACACTAATTTGATTCGTTATTAAAAGATATATTTGGCTTGTTGTAATCTGAACGACTGAAGCTTGATCCACCAAAATTTGTTGTTGGAAGTTATATTTCCCACAGGAAAAGATAATGAACTGTCGGAATGAAAAGGCTGCCAAAAATTTCTATGTAAAAATTTAGTAATCCACAGAAGAAAAAAATTGTTATTTTGCTAAGTATTATATGAGATTCGAAAAATTGATGGTGACGAGGAAAGAAAAATCAATCCAAAATTATTGGTAGTAAAATAACACTTTAGTAAAGGGTAATTCAGGGGTTCTATCCTCAAAATCCTGGTGATTTTTCAAGAGTGAATTTTTGGCACGAAAAAACGTTTTAGGGATCAAATGAAATCTGATAATTTTCTCAAATACTGTATCTTCCGATGAACCACTAAACCTTTACACAAATACTACATGATCTGCTTGCATTTATAATATATTTGTTTTAAGGGCTCTTCAGATTCCGCCTAATATTGATGTCCTGTACTGCGAGCAGGAGGTTGGAGCTGATGAACGATCAGCTCTTCAAACTGTTCTTGATGCTGATGAGAAGAGAACTGCTCTACTCAAGGAGGCAGCAGAACTAGAAAGGCAACAGGTACATAGCGTCCCATATCATATTGGATTATGTCCAAGCTTTAATTCCAAAATACGCACATAATATCAGAAAACCGTTTTTTTCTGCAAAAACGTTTAAGTACCTTAATTTCGATTTAGTGCTAGACAAGATCTAGTATGTTGATGGATGAGGGAGGGAACCCCCCGACGCCATGAGCCTCTGCTATGCAGACACGAGCCTCCTAGATTTGATAGGCAGACCGAGCGTCCACTATGTAGACCAAGCCTCTGCTATGCAGTAAACGAGCCTCTACCATACAGACAGATTTTTTAAATCTTGGTTTTTATGTGTAATGAAAATTTTAACATTTTTTTGACGCAGTGGCATAAGAATTTTACTTAAGAGTACTTTATTGATTCTCATGGTCAGAAACATATATGGACTCAAAAAGTGGTTCATAAGATTTATACTTTAACTTTAAACATGTCTTACGCCGCGCAGAAAGGAAGATATTGGAGAAATATTTCTGGGTTAGAATTAGTTTGTTTTGTTGTAATCTTTGATTTAAACAATACCTTTTTTTTGAAAAGAGTTAAGATTTAAATTTTTGATAGAAATATTCTAGATATAATTTGAACTACAAAAAAGGTATCACTTAAATCAAAGATTATAAAAGATGAAATGAAATTCAATTAAATTTTTTTTCTCAAACTTTTTTTCTTTTCATGTAAAACATGTTTCAAGGTTTTATATACCACTTAATTAGTCATAATTAGGCACTATTAATAAAGGGCAACTTCTCATCTTTGAGAAACCTCTCATGCAACTCGAAAACACAAGTTTAGAAAAGCCTCCTGTATTACACAGGGCACATTTTGATGTATTACGCATGCTCAATGCTCATTTCTGCATAGCGGAGGCTCGGTCTGTCTAGCAAATCTGGGAGGTTCGTGTCTACATAGCGGACGCTCATGGCGTCAGGGAGTTTCCCTCCTACGATGGATAACCTGTCGGTGAAAGTTTTTTAAAATGTCTATTATTATGAATTATGATTGTCGTGCACCTACTTTTTTCAACAAAAATTTAATTATCTAGGTATAACCCTCACAAAAATATATTTGACTAATTATAATTTTATGGAAAAAAATCCGATGACCAATGTAGCTCGGATTTAAACGCGCTCTGCTAGGGTATTTTACCTTCAAGAATGGTTATCTAGAAAAACTACAGTTATAACCAAAAACAATTTTGATTTGAATTTCTAAATTTAAAAAACTTTGCTAAATATAAAAAATGTGCCCTGAGCTGGGAACTTTAGAATGGGATACCTTTAATCCCGACTGGTTAATCCGAATATCCAATGTGGACACTTTTAATTTTTTGCTTAATCCACTCTTTTTCGGATATAGAAGAGAAAAATCAAAAACCGGTTTTTCAAAATTAGAAAGTCCCTCCCGTTTCTGTATATTAATCTTAAATGGCGCGCAAAATTTCAAATTTCCCGGCTTCTCATACGCGACTCTTATTGGTTGAATGCTATACACTTTTCAGGATATAAGTACAAGATTAGGTTAGTCTTGAGATTAGGAAAAAGATGAATCAAGTATTGATCTCGATATCCACCATTCTAAAGTTCCCAGCTCTGAACAGTTTTAAACAAATATTAGATGCAGCCATTGGAAATTAGCAAAATACTGAGCGACATTTCTGAAGTAAAAGGAAGGAAAAAGACTGTTCTTTTCACCACTTTCTAATTTTCACTGTTAATTTCTGGAAAATATTTTATAAAAGATATCGAAAATTTACCCAATGTTCAGTTTCTTTATCTTTCGATTTATCTTTACGTTCCATGTTTGATTATTTGTTTTTTTACTTGAACGTGTTCCAGGATAAGGGAAAGAATGTAGCGGATGAACTGACGGGGGTCTACGAGGAACTCCGTGCTATCGGAGCAGACCAGGCGGAACCTAAAGCTAGGAGACTCCTCGCTGGTCTTGGTTTCGACAAAGAGATGCAGGATAGGTAGAACATATCGAAGGGAAAACTTAAAGTGGAAATTATTTCAGTTTTAAACGCTACTAATTTTCTTCTATCACATATTCATTTCCTTTAAGTCTTTGAAAAAATTCTATGTATAATCCGATTTAAAAAAAATGCCAGTCAGGCGTTATGAGGACATAATGAAGCTGGTGGACTGCTTTTGTAGCCGCGTAACACTGGGCTACACTGTTGTAGTTAACGGTGACAAGAAGTGTGGGCAGAGAATTGATTCAATACCTATTTTGTGACTAATTTCGAAGAGCCAGCCTAAATTTGTCTTCTATCTGTTGCGTATATAACTTATCATTCGGATATTACAAGTTATAAATGTTGAATCCAATTCAGGACATTCGTATGTTAAATATCATAATCTTTTGTTTGTTTATTTACGATGTACTTTGGACGACGATTTTAAAAAAATTTAATTTAAGATGATATTTAAGCCTCTAAATTAGAAACTTTGTGCCTTGAGGCTACCAAGCAAAGAACATAATTCGAATTCACGCAAGAGGAAAAAGATTTACAAATTGCGTTAAATAAAAAGTTAATCTGTTTTCTCACATGAATTTTTATTTAATTTAGATCAACCAATAAGTTCTCTGGTGGATGGAGAATGAGAGTAAGCTTGGCCCGAGCACTTTTTATTGGTAAGAAGGAACATCTAAGTTCTTAACTACTATTTTAATAGAAAATGATCCCCCCTCCCAGCTCAAGTGAAGAAATTGATTGTCTAAACTCAGTCGTGTTGCTGGGATTATAATGTTCATCTTGGAAAGACAATAGAATGATTTTTCGCAAATGTAAAAATTGAAATGAAATCCGGGCTGAAAAACCATTGTACAATCAGGACTTGAAACTCCAGGCCTCCACAAATCCCTAACATACAGGATTTTTAAAAAAAAATCGTTAATATTAGAAAGTCAACTACCCTACCTGCTCAGATCCTTTAAATAATGTCTTTTTTATTTTACCGTAACAATTTTTGTTTTAATTAGTTTCCCTTAGCCGCCATGTAACCATGTAACCCTGATTTTACAAAACTTGGAGGAAATTGGCAAAAATAATAATTTGATTAAAATTTGAGGTAGCAAAAAATATTTTCTAGAACCTACTCTTCTAATCCTAAATAATATGTTCTAGAACCTACTCTTCTAATCCTAAATAATATGTTCTAGAACCTACTCTTCTAATCCTAAATAATATGTTCTAGAACCTACTCTTCTAATCCTAAATAATATGTTCTAGAACCTACTCTTCTAATCCTAAATAATATGTTCTAGAACCTACTCTTCTAATCCTAAATAATATGTTCTAGAACCTACTCTTCTAATCCTAAATAATATGTTCTAGAACCTACTCTTCTAATCCTAAATAATATGTTCTAGAACCTACTCTTCTAATCCTAAATAATATGTTCTAGAACCTACTCTTCTAATCCTAAATAATATGTTCTAGAACCTACTCTTCTAATCCTAAATAATATGTTCTAGAACCTACTCTTCTAATCCTAAATAATATGTTCTAGAACCTACTCTTCTAATCCTAAATAATATGTTCTAGAACCTACTCTTCTAATCCTAAATAATATGTTCTAGAACCTACTCTTCTAATCCTAAATAATATGTTCTAGAACCTACTCTTCTAATCCTAAATAATATGTTCTAGAACCTACTCTTCTAATCCTAAATAATATGTTCTAGAACCTACTCTTCTAATCCTAAATNTCTTGTTCTTGTTCTTGTTCTTGTTCTTGTTCTTGTTCTTGTTCTTGTTCTTGTTCTTGTTCTTGTTCTTGTTCTTGTTCTTGTTGCATGCACGGTGTGCAGTGTGCACTGCTTGGTTCTAACGAAAACTTCAAAATTTAATTTTGTGTCTTAAATTTATTTTTGTTTTAAAATATATAGTTTGTATTATTCTTCAGTTTCTCACGACCAGAGTTTCTTGGACAATGTGTGCACAGATATTATTCATTTAGACCAGTGCAAACTTTGGTAAGTTAGAAATAAACACGTAAACTATTTTGAAGTCATCATTCGGAAAAAAAAAATTTGTTTGTCCAAGGTTTAAATTCAAAATGTTGAATTCCGAACATAGTTCCATAAAAATGTGCGATTTTTAAATGAAAATTCGCGAAATATAAAAGGACTTCTAAATTGCGGGTTATAAATCCTCTCAAAATTGGAAGATAAAGCCCCAATTTTTGGGGAAAAATGACACGACTTAAGGACTGTATTTGGTCTGTTAAAATATGTTAATTGTCCATACGATAATAACATAAACAATTAACAATAAATATCAACAAAAATAGGTTTGTTTAATAAAAAACAATATATTTTTTATATTCTAGGTACTATAAAGGAAACTACTCTATGTTTAAGAAAATGGAGATCCAAAAGCGACGAGAAAGGTAAAACATTATTGATAAACAATGACTGTCTTCCTGCTGCTAGACGGCTACCCATTTTTAAGCAGCATATAGAGATGGGACGAAATAAATAGTTAGATACACACGAATGTTCTTAAATTGTCTAAACCACTAGCTACACAGTACATATTCTCTATTACCAATCTGTGACGTCATATTATTTCAACGCTATAATAAGAAACTTCTTTTTTAAGAATGTCTAAGAGACTTCAGGTAATTACCCCTTCTTAGAAAGAAATGTTAATGGGACTTTCCTGCTTTTCTGTTCTTCAGAATATTTATGTCACTTTTTACAGATTTTTACTCCTACAGTTCGTAATCGTACAAGATGTAATTGTATAAAAAGATTTAAATCGCGTAAACGATGCTTCTTTATTTAATGAAATATCGCGAACAATCCCTTTAAGGTTGAAGGACTATGAGAAGCAGGAGAAGAAGTTGAAGGAACTCAAGGCCTCTGGAAGCAGTAAAAAGAAGGCAGAGAGTAAACAGAAGGAAGCATTAACAAGGTAAGGACTGGAATTTCAAACTTTGAAAGAAAAAGTTAAGAAAAAAAAAATATAGATGTAATTAGTATTTGAACATCATCTAAAAATGCATCTCAATTAATTAACAACCTGTAATTCAGCAAGGCAAATCAATCCCTGAAAAACAGACCTAATTAATTTGGGGAGAAAGCAGAATATATTTTTGTTACTAAGAAGCAGCAGTGGCGTATTATTTGCAAAAGCTAGTTATCTTAACCTAAAAATCATTAGAAACTTATTTCAATGTCAAGAATACACCAAAAGCTAATAATATTACATAGAAAGCAGCAAAAGCCATTTTTTTTATTTTTAAAAAGCTTCTAAAGCTTTATTTTATCTAGGAAGCAGCAAAAGAACCAGACGAAGCTACATAAAAACGATGACGAGGATACAGGCCCAACAGAACTTCTGGAACGTCCGAAGGAGTACATCGTCAAATTCAGGTTTGTGCAAAACGATGAGGTTTTCACCACCTTATCTTTCAAGGAAGTGACCCTCCATTCAAATAAAGCTATCAAATTAATAAAGGTACTCTACAAACCTGTATCACTGTAGACAGGCTACGCGGTAAATGAGGGACAGAAAGGTCACTCGAAATTACCTCTACAGTCTCTGTATGTAATGAACATATTTTGTCAAAGATGGTTTAGTTCAGTTAAAAAGAATTTCTTCGAATTTTGATTGAAGTTCTTTTGCTTAAATCATGTGAATAAGGGGCTGTAAAAATCTTTTTAGCTTTTACAGCAAATTTAAATATTTAATTTTTTTTAATATAAATTCTATTCTACATTTTTGTTCAGATTTCCAGAGGTTTCACAACTCCAGCCACCAATCCTTGGTCTTTATAACGTCAGGTAAGAATTAATTAATTTATGTTTGTCTGGAGATGTGCAGTATTTTAATTTGAAGTCGGAACTAAAGAGAGCTAAACTAGCTATGGCTGAGTTAACTACTTCTTTTTTTGCCACAGAAATCAGAAATCAGTTGCGGCTGCCAAAACTAGTCTAATTTTCTCTTAACTTTTCAGAACAACATTTTTACATTTTGATTATGATTGTAATGTTATTTTTAGTTATAACTACCCTGGCCAGCCGAAACTATTTAAGAAGGTTGAGTTTGGTATTGATATGGAGTCCAGAGTTGCGATTGTTGGACCCAACGGGGTCGGGAAGTCCACCTTCTTGAAACTGTTGCTGGGTGACCTTGAACCCATCGAGGGGGAGGCCAGGAAAAATCTTAGGTAAGGGGTTTGATTAGTAGAAATGAACTATACAATTAATTGCTTAAGTGGTTAATTTTCTGTTTAATTGATCAAATTAATTGATAAATCAATTGATAGATTGATAAATTAATCATTTGATTGATAGAGTACTAGAATGATAGATTGAATGATTGTCAATAGATTGATATAAAGAACAATTGATAGATTGATTGATTGTCAATAGAGCGATATATAGAACAATTGATAGACTGATTGATGGTCAATAGATTGATATATAGAACAATTTATATATTGATTGATTGTCAATAGATTGATATAAAGAACAATTGATAGATTGATTGAGTGTCAATAGAGCGATATATAGAACAATTGATAGACTGATTGATTGTCAATAGATTGATATATAGAACAATTGATAGATTGATTAATTGTCAAAGATTGATATATAGAACAATTGATAGACTGATTGATTGTCAATAGATTGATAGATAGAACAATTGAAGGACTGATTGAATGTCAATAGATTGATATATAGAACAATTGATAGATTGATTGAATGATGGATTAATGAATAGGGTAATTTTTTGATTGATTTATCGATGGAATAACTAGTTGAAATACTGATGGATTAAGCAACTAATTATTTGATAAATTTATTTATTAATTAATCGGTTGTCTATGCCTGTGGCCGGTTTATTTGATGGGGACTTGGCCTGGTCTTCTAGGAATAATGGTTGACGTTGATGAATTGAGTGGTTGATTTACTGATTGATTGATTGATTGATTGATTGCTGCAGGTTGAAGGTTGGTCGGTTTGACCAGCACTCAGGAGAGCATCTAACAGCGGAGGAGAGTGCTGCAGAATACTTGATGCGACTGTTTAACTTACCCTTAGAGAAGGCCAGGAAACAGCTTGGTTCATTTGGATTACAGGTTGGTAAATGCCAATCACAGAAAAAAAAGAAAAAAATTTAATTCATGACTTAATGTTAAAATCTATGATTTTTAAATAATACAGACGTAATAGACGTATTATAATAGAATTTGTTTAATAGACTGTCCTTCGAAAAATAGAAAAGACGAAAATTTCAAATTTTGTCTTAAATATTAAGTTAATTGACCTTTTTTGAAGCTTTCTTCCTTGCGTTAAAAATAGATAAAATTAATCTTAGTCGCACGCGCATACTGTCAAGATGAAGGATCTATCAGGAGGTCAAAAAGCACGCGTTGCGCTTGCCGAGCTGACCCTCTCCGCTCCTGATGTCATTATTCTTGACGAACCGACAAACAATCTTGACATTGAAAGTATTGATGCATTGGCCGAGGCCATAACTGAATATGAAGGTATGGATTCACAGATCTTGTATAATTTGCATGAGTAACACTACAATGGAAAAAATTCCTAAATGTTAGTTTTGTAACGAATGTCCCCTGCATTTTTTTTCGTCGAGTTAAACGGGTTATTAGTCTAAATTCCAGTGTTATTTCCTAATAAATATATTTTTTTTTGTATTGGATAAAAACTTTTCTTCTCAACACGTTTCTACCGACGAATGATAATCTATTTTTTATGCATGAAGAACAGTTTGTCAATGCTTTTGAAACTTTGGAAGCAGTGCTTATGGTTCATTTTATTTTGATGCGAAAGAATATGTAAAGTTTTGTTGATATCCTTTACGAGCATTTTTTTTTTCCAAATTTTCTTTATCTTATCTTGCTAATTGTTAATGTAGAAACTTAATTTACCATCCTCTGATTAATACTTTAATGTTTGCTATGTGATCAAAAAGATTTGTTTCCGATGTTTTAAATGATTTTTGCGAGGCAGATTCGAAGATTATAAGCATATTTTACGTATTAGGACCGAATTTAATTAATTTGAGCTAGGTCGATGAATTTATTTGTAGTAATGCAGTGTAACCAGGAACTTATGATGTTGCAGATCCTAATCACTGCTTAAAATCTAATAAAATTTATTTGAAGTAATGCAGTGTAACTAGAAACTTATGATGTTGCAGATCCTAATCACTGCTTAAAATCTAATAATAATTATTTGTAGTACTGCAGTGTAACTAGGAACTTGTGATGTTGCAGATCCTAATCACTGCTTAAAATCTAATAAAATTTATTTGTAGTACTGCAGTGTAACTAGGAACTTATGATGTTGCAGATCCTAATTACTGCTTAAAATCTAATAAAATTTATTTGTAGTACTGCAGTATAACCAGGAACTTATGATGTTGCAGATCCTAATCACTGCTTATAATCTAATAAAATGTATTTAGGTGGGGTAATCATTGTTTCTCACGACGAACGATTGATCCGAGACACGAACTGCCAGCTCTGGGTGATCGAGGAGCAGGGGATCAGTGAGATCGACGGAGGGTTCGACGAGTACCGTAAGGAGGTGCTGGAGGAGCTTGGAGAGGAAGTTTTCAATCCATCAGTTATCGCCAACAAAGCGATCGAACAGTAGAAGTGATCATTTTTTTATTAAGCTTGGTGACTATACTTTATTCTAGGGAACGGTTCTCTTGATTATTGTATATTATGCTTTGTGATAAAGGTGCAGGATAATAAATATATATTCTTTCATCTATTAACAAATAACCTTTTTTTGTGATGTTCAAGTAAGGTATATCGATACTAGTAGGTCTACTATTGTAACAAATCGGAGCTAATTCCGCTCATTGGTTTCTAGTTCATCTTTTATAAAACTAATGGTGAAAACAATAGGTTAAATATTTAATATAGAGATAAAAGTACGAAAATGGCGACAGCTTTCTTATAGTCTCCAATCCCAACCGTGTTTTGACGCCAATTTTGCACTTAAATAAAAATGTAGATATGGAAAGTTCAATTTTGTTCAAGTAATACAAGTTTTTGGTAATAAGTAAGAATAGTAATAGAGAAAGTAGAAGTAAGAATAGTTGGAGAATGTAGGAGTAACAAAAGTAGGAGAATGTAGAAGTAAGAATAGTAGGAGAATGTAGAAGTAAGAATAGTAGGAGAATGTAGAAGTAAGAATAGTAGGAGAATGTAGAAGTAAGAATAGTAGGAGAATGTAGAAGTAAGAATAGTAGGAGAATGTAGAAGTAAGAATAGTAGGAGAATGTAGAAGTAAGAATAGTAGGAGAATGTAGAAGTAAGAATAGTAGGAGAATGTAGAAGTAAGAATAGTAGGAGAATGTAGAAGTAAGAATAGTAGGAGAATGTAGAAGTAAGAATAGTAGGAGAATGTAGAAGTAAGAATAGTAGGANATTTTCATTGAAATTTTCTTTTTAAGTGTTAAGAGTTAAGACTGTAAAAACTTACAAATACAATTTCTTTACATTTTATAATTACAAAGAATTTATAAAAGTTATATTTTAGTATTGGTTTTGGTATTCTAGTGTATAGTGCTGCAGGGTTTATATTCTTCTCTTTTATCGCCCCTGGGTTACAGGTAAAAAAAAGTAGTGGATCCCGGATAAGTACTACCTTATCCGAATCCGGGTCAGGATTTCAATACTTTTTTTTCATCTTTTTTCTTCTATACGCTTGTCATCTTTCAATACTCGAATGTGAGTGAATATTATTATTAGTTTTCTTTAATCATTGGTATCACGTACGTTGTTATTTATTTTTCAGTGGCCGAATTTTAAGAATTTGATCCGCGGCTTAAATTTGAGACGCGGCTCAATTATGGTTGGTTCCACTTAAAATTGTATTCAATGTTTCAAGATTCAAGCCGGCGCTTAATTGAAACCGGTTTTTGGCGGATTTGAGACGCGGCTCAAATTTAATAAATTCCGACTCTGGAGAAATTCTGCAAATTAATGATGACTTTTCCCTTGTTTTTTAATGGATGTGTTCAGGATGTCGTCCTGAAGTTTGGGGTACCTGTATACATTACCTGGCTTACCACTACGGTAAGGTTTCTTCAATTTACGTCGCTGTCCCTTAGTGGACTCCGCAGAATATACCCTAGTTTTCTTTCTTTTCACACTTTAAACTAACACTCATATCTTATTCTTAAGGGTTTCAGACAGTGCTTAGGATCCGGATCCCAAGGATTCTTGGATCCGGATCCCAGTGCTAATTATTAATCAAAGACTGCAAAAAAAATATTTTGCTCTTAAAACTTGATCTGAACTGCTGAAAAAAAGAGAAATGTCCTTATGTCTGAATGGTTTTTCAAGTCGTTGCTTAAAGATAAGTAAAAAAAGAAAGAAAAATAATTTTAAAATTTTCTTCTGTTAAGAATATCAGTAAATCGAGAAATCTTCAGGACCTAGATCCGGATCCATTTTTTCCTGTGCGGATCCAGGAACCGGATCCGCATTAGAATTATATGGATCCTTAGCACTGGTCACAGAAAAGTATCTGGATATTTGTAATGTTCTCTCGAAAGTATTTTTGATTATGATATTGCAATATTTTTGTTTTATTGATAAACTAGTGGTAGTTTTATAAATGTCGTTAATGTTAATATTTTCCAATGTCGTTGATCAGTTTTCTGCTAGGTTTGGCGAGCTGGAAGTGTCGGTGATGGTTATATTCTCTCTGGATCTCTGTTGTTTATGCTGAGTGATTGCTGTATAGGAATAAATTCATTCTACAATCCCATCCCATATTCGCAGGTATTACATTTAACACTGAAAATGATAATTTGCACCGAAAACACCCGCTGTTGTATGTTAAGGTTGGTATCATGTCAACCTAGTCAACCTATCATATATTTGTTGTTTGTTAAGGTTATTATTATTTCGACCTATCATATATTTGTTGCATGTCAAGGTTGTAACTATGTCGACTTATCAGATATTTGTTGTATGTTAAGGTTGTTATTATGTCGACCTATCATATATTTGTTTTATGTTAAGGTTGTTATTATGTCGACCTATCAGATTGGACAGTATCTGATCAGCATGTCAGGGTTCTTACCTCAAAACAAAGGAGACATGAAGAACAAGAAGGATTAGAGCAACAAGAAAAAGAATGAATGGTGTATCCAAATGATAGATTTATTTTGTAATGTTTTATTTGATACATCTGAAATTTCATTATTAATTGTTCTAGAACTATCAAAATATAGTTTTAATTTTATTTTTTAACTTTTAATGCAATTTTTCAGATAAATGTGATGCACCCTGAAACCCTAGAACGAGGGGGTAAACGATCAAACTCCGAGACCGAACCAGATACTGTTCTGAAAAAGATAAAAGTAGGTCCACCCTCATTACAATTTACTGGGGTCACTCAAATTTTAAAGGAACTATAGAATTTGTTTTAAGAGTCGCAGTCCCATCAAAAGCGTTACCCCCCTTACTCTTTTCGGAGCCTAAACGGAGATAGTCCTGTTTTTAATAATTTAAAATCGATCATTTTTAATTGTGGTTACTTTTTAAAAGTGACTTGCAATTTTCTGCAACTGAAATTAGGAATGATTTTTAAGATGAAAAAGAAAGTGTTCTTTCTTGTTTCTCATACTACGGCCTAAAAAGTACCGTTGCAAATCGCTCATGTTACTATTTAAATCGCTCATGTTACTATTTAAATCGCTCATGTTACTATTTAAATCGCTCATGTTACTATTTAAATAGATGATATTCAAACAAAGTTATTATTTCGCGAAGAGGAAATTTCGACAGATATTTTTGATTCTTTGAGTTATCCTTAAAAATAAGTATATTGCTTAATTAAGCCTGATCCAACTCTTTATTTGGCACTCCAAATATAATAAAGTATATATAAAAAATAAGAAATACGTATATTTTTTTATTATTTTTTTCTCATTAAAAAGTATAATAAACGATGTAATTTTTATGTCAATAAATACAAAATCTTTTCGATTTTCTTATTTTAAAGGGACTGTAAAGGAAAAATGAAAGGGGGTATAGGCTGAAAGCTAATCACTTTAGCTCTCGATCGCGACCCATGAAAGTTATATCTGATGTTCCTATCTCGAGAAATTGATATACAATCGTGTCAAATTTATACGAAAATTAATCTATATATAAATTTGGCTTGTCTGTCTGTTTTTTTGTCTGTTTGTTTGTATCCAATAAACGTCTAAACGGCTGAACCGATCGGGCCCAAATTTTTTGTGGGACATCAAGGGACCCCAGGGAAGGTTTATGAATGATCAAAATTTCAAATATTTGTCTCCATTAAAATTCGATCTTCATTAAATTTTTTTAAATTTTGAAAATCCACGAAATTTTTTGTGAAAATCCGCGAATTATTTTTGTTTTGTTTTACGATGTACACAAAGAGAACATGTTCACAATTAATTTAGAAGATGGGCGCGAAGCGCCCTCTAAGGCTAGTATGTATACAATTTTGTATAAAAGCAGTAGGTTTAAATTGATCAAATTCAGCAAATATGCAACCAATCTGAAAACGATGTTATCCTAGAGAAAGCTAATTGTAACTTAGGTTTACTCCAATTATAATTTTATATTTTTTATTTCTATTTTTAATAGATTTAATTCATAATATTATTTACACGTCCGTATTACTTGACCAGAAATTCCACCAATGGCAATGCAGTAAAGTGGTCACGTGATACAGGGGAGACACGTGACCAGTATACTGTCTGCCATTAGTGATAGTTCTGGTCACGTGATTTAAGTTTAAGATTTTCTAAATTTTACATATATGAACTTTTGTATAATTTTTATATCAATTTCTCGAGACAGGAACATCAGATAAAACTTGCAAGAGCTAAAGTGATTAGCTTTCAGCCTATACCCCCTTAACGATACTCCACACTTTTTGACCATTGTTTGAAAAATGTTTTTTACCGCATTTTATTTTAAGTTATTTTTTGTTATTTTTGATTAATTTTAAATGTTAGCAGTGTGGTGAAGAAGAATCCGAGATGGATAAATCCATCAATAACTCCTACACGGCCCAGCTGGCTCTTAGAATTAAGGTATTTATTCACGATTCTGAAATAATTTTTTTATGGAATATTTATGGAATTTGTGCTTTCTAAAATAAAGATTATTTGACTCAATGGATTTATATGAATTTATTCTGAAAATTTTTTATTCATAAACCTCCCAGTCAAAACTTAATTGCGAGGATCCGCTAATTTACATGCAATGTTTGTACAGATAATACAAAAATGTCTACCTTGCTCTGTAACGATGATTGGGTCATTTGATTTGAATTGGCTGCTTTTGCAGTTGCAGTTGCAGTTGCAGTTGCAGTTGCAGTTGCATTTGCGGTTGCATTTGCAGTTGCATTTGCAGTTGCATTTGCAGTTGCAGTCGCAGTTGCAGTCGCAGTTGCAGTTGCAGTCGCTTTGGATTGATTTAGATTTGGATTTGAAATCATTTGATTTGGATTGATTTGGATTTAAATAATTTGATTTGGATTTGATTTGATATTGATTCATTTTATTTGTATTTTTACATTTGTTCTGTATTTGATTTGATTGATGAATCACTAAGACCCGCATGTGTTTGGTCTAGGTGTACCTGGAGGATAACAAGACCAAGAAGTTCATCGATGTAGAGGGGATGACCCAGACACTGTACGATACATACCCAGAGTACAGGAGGAAGAAGTACAAGGTATTCCTGATTGTACTGCATGAAGTTTGTGTGCGTTCAGACGAAATTTGCGCGTATTTATCAGACTTTCGAAAAGGGGAACAAAACTGTGAACTTGTAATAGCTGAATTTATAATTTTGGCGTAAAGCTAGTCAGATATCTGAAAAATAGACTAAAAAGAAACAGGTGTAAACCGTTTCAAACCTGACAAAACTTTTTATTTCTGATTAAGGATTATTGGATATCGTGCACTTGACTTATTTTTTTATTGACGAAAGGTTTACGTTTTCGATGGATATTAGGTTTAGTTTTCTAGTACATTAAAAGTCGCTTCTGTTGTATTCAGATTTTTTTTCATTTTTTCCCAGATGCATCCAGGTTTTAGATATACACGGCCAGGTAGCTAAGTTCCAGCCCCCTGAACAGAACTCATATTATTTATATATATATTATATATATTTTTTTTTCAGGTGTTTAAAGGGAACATAGAGAAAACATTTTCCAACCTGAAATTCGAATTAAAGAAAATCAGCAGGAACGAGAATAATCATAATTTTTTAACGCGCGGAGAAAAACATAACACTTAACACAAAACATTTATAATCTTGATACAAAATGAATCAAGGGCAACTAAGTAATCTAAAAAAGCAAGTTTACATAATTAAATTGATCTTTTTGAAGTAATTTCTGATATTTTTCTAATTATTATTTTCTCTGAATAGTGCCAGAAAGAAGGAAAAGTCGAAAGAAACTGAAATAAGGTGAACTCTTCATCTAGAAAACCTGATTTTATTGTCAATCTATTAAACAAAAAAATAGTCTCCATGGCATCAGTAAAAACTGTCAACCTTATTTCAAGTGTCTTTTAAAGATTTGCAACGCTCCCTAGAAACAAAATGTTCAACAAATGCCATACTCCAGAAAAAAAAATATAAGAACATTTGAGCAATATTAAAATGTTCTCATAGAAATTACATGGATTGTAAGGTTAGCATGGCTTGTCCATTGTGCAATGATATATTTTTTTTGCGCGAATGGTATAATTAACATACAAATAGAAACATTTTTAACAATATCCTGGCTGTAGGACCCCTGATGAGAAAACAGTAAAGAAGACTGCAAATTCCCGGCTAGCGGATCTGTATACTAAACCACCAACTTCTTCAAGTCAGGCAGAAGAAACACTAGACCCTGACGATCTGGAGATCATTCCTGTAGAAAAGGTAAAATTCACCATTTCCGGTCAATATTTTGGAAAATTTTCTTGTTTATTTTGCGCCACTGTACTTCAAAACGTTGCACCTTTTACCTTTAATATCGTGCGCTACTTTACTTCTATACGTTGCACCACTTTCCTTACTTATTTTGCGCCTTTTTCCTTCATTATTTTGCATTATTTTCTTAAAATATGTTGCGCCAATTTCCTCCAGTATTTTGCGCCACCTTCAATCAATACTGTGTCATAGGATTTTTATCAATATTTTGCGCTACTTTTCTTTTCAAAATATTCTCAAATTATTAATATCTTTATTTTGAGAAAGGTTTATTTATTAAGTTTTCATTAATATTAAACCTCAATTTTCCCGAATTTTAACATCAATTTTCCAACTTATTTTTTCCTCATTTTAAACTTTCAAGGAAAAGAAGGAGGTGGTGTTAATTGCCTTAGAGGATGAAGATGAAGATAATAGTGATGAGATTCTGAAAGAAGGAACCCAGGAAGCTGGAGTAAAGTCTGAAAAAGAGAATGAAAAATGTTTGGAAAAAGAAACAGAGAAAGAATTGGATGCAAGTTTGATGGAGGGAAATGAAAATCATGAAAACATCTATCCGAAACCCGATGGTGATACAATTATGAAGATTCAAGAATCCCGGTGCGATGAATTAAATGCCGTGAAGGAGACCGGAAAGGAAAATGATGAAATGAATGCTAGAAGTGTAGAAAAGGAAAGTGAAACAAAGGAAAACGGGAAACAAATTGAAGAAATGGAAGAAGAAAGTGAATTTGAACGAATAAAGAATAACGCTAAAAAAGTTAAAGAAAAAATCGGAAGCGAGAAGAAGAAAACTCGGCCCTCGAAATCCCTCTCCAAATATTTAGATTCGAGGAAAACGAGCGAAGATAGTTTACTTCGAAAAAATGAGAATCTTAATCAGAGCAATAATTGTGCTTCTGATTTAGATTCAACACTGAACACATCTGTTTTCAGCACCCCTAGACTTCAAGTTTTTGATCCTCTCATGAGTGAATCTCCCATGTCGAGTCCGAGCAGGGTTGTTAAGAAGTCTGTCTCGACCCTAGCTAAACCGGTTGAAATCTCCGCCAAGATTAAGCAGAGCTTAAAGAAACAAATAATAGGTATGTTTTAACAAATAAGGATTTTTTTACGTTTAATCTCCTATTTAGTAAAACCTTGTTTGACTTAAACTTAGTTTTTTAAGGATGTTGTTCCGGAATATTTGCCACAACTATGTCTTAAGTAAAAAGAACTGAAGACTCATGTCAAACTTTAATTTTTGATTTCATAAATTCATATATCTTAATATCCTGATGATATCTATCTTATTTAGTAGAAAGCTAAGTTTAATATCTCAAAGATCAACATAAAGTTCTAAATATATGGTTTAGAAATATGTGGATGAAGAGAGTTATCAGTTTCATTTCCGTTCTTTTGTTTCTTAAAAGACTTTTTAAAAACTAATAGGATTTAATACTTCTAGATGAAATCGTGATTGATTCGGATGACATGGTCAAAACGCCCAAAAAATCTGGAAAAAGGACCGCAGGTTAATAATACAAAAAAATTTAAATATTATTTACCTTACAAAATTTTCTATTCTATTTTTCAAGGTGATGGTAAGGAGGTCTCTACGAAGAAGCGACGAAATGAAGTTGCGATAACACAATCTTCCACGAAATTCGCGGATTTTGGCGGCAACGATACCCTACTCTGTGATATTTGCAAGCTTTTAGCCCATCTCAAACATCCTGAAATGTACCGGTAAACATTTAGTTTCATAATTTTAACAAAATATTGTACAATTTTATACTTTCACTAAGGTTGATTTGTGAATTTTCTTTTAAATATCCTTTTTCTTACAAAAAAACCTACCCAATTGTACGCCTTTCGATAAATGCCAAAAACAAACTCTGTAAATGTATAGCCGGCCAAACGGCTGGACCGATTGGGCTGAAATTTTTTGTGGACACATGGGTATTTTTTTTTCAAATTTTTTTTTCCACGGGCAACGCCGGGCTCTTCAGCTAGTGTCTCATAACTCTTTTTCGACGTGGGAAGGTAAGTGGGATGATCGAAACTTTCTATCAAAGTTAAATCTGAACAAATATTATCAGTGAGCTTGGTGTGAGCCCTCCTCGTGGTTTTCTTCTCCACGGTCCACCAGGTTGCGGGAAAACATTACTTGCACATGCTATAGCAGGAGAACTAGATCTTCCTTTTATCAAGGTTAAATTTATTATTTGCTACAGTGAGAACCAAAAACTATGGATTGAGAAGACGACATTTAGACGAAAATTACTTATTTTAACAATAAAATAAATATTGAATATGTGACAGCAATTTTGCAGTTTACACAACCATTTCACTTAATAAGGGATATAAAACTGGTTTTTTTTGTAAAAACATCTAATACACTGTAAGAATGCTTTAATGTCGTATTCATATTCCAAACTTTTATGGTTCCCACCGTAAGTCTTACTTAATTAGCTGATTATGTTTGCGGAAAGTGAAACCAATTGACTGCCCAACTACTGGATGTGTTGATTAATTAAAGAATGGAAAATCCATGTAAGCTTTAAGTCTCTCCGATCATTTAATAGTTTCCAGTTGTTGTTTGATGCATTTTGATAAAAATACATTTTTGATCCGCCCGGAAAAAATGCTAAAATGTTGATCGGGATCCTCAGCTCCGCACTGCTTTTTTTCAGATAATCTATTGTTTGGAATGAACCGTTAGAGAATACTAAATTGATTGTTAAAAGATCAATAAACTTAGTTCCAGACCAATAACCCAATCAATAATTTTGTTTAATGTTCAGGTTTCTGCTCCTCAGCTTGTCTCCGGTGTGTCCGGAGACTCAGAGAGTAAGATCCGAGATCTGTTCAAACAAGCAGAGGAGTCGGCTCCCTGTGTTCTTTTCATAGATGAAATAGATTCAATCACACCTAAGGCAAGTTATTTTTTTTGATATAAAACATTTGAAGACAAATGTCTAAATTGTACTAGGATTGATAGACTTATTCCGAAAACCTTAAAAAAGAAATTCTGTATCTTAACGTTCTTGAAAGTATTTTTCTAGCAGATTATGTTTTGATTATTTCCTTATTCTTTAAAAAATATCCTTAATTTCAATATTTTTATTCTCGGTAAATTGAAAATATTTAAAAAAAAATAAAAAATTCCATCAAATTTTGTTGGGTTTTTTTGTTGAATGTTAGGCCTCTTGAGTAAATTTTAGAATTAGGAAAAATCGATTGTTTTGTAATTTTTTTTTAATTTGGTTCCGTTATTGACGGATTAGTTGACTCAATATAGATTAATTTGTTTGTTGATTTATTAATTAGTTGATTGATTGAAAATTAAATTTAACTTATTAGTTGATTGATTGATTATCTAGAGGGAGAATGCGCAAAGGGAGATGGAGAGAAGAATAGTTGCCCAGCTTCTAACCTGTCTAGATGAACTAGGACAAGCAGATCATCAGGTAAATAAACAATTATTAGCTGAGGGGGGGGGGGGGGTAGGGGTATGATAATCAGGGTTCTCCCCTTTAAGTTTCCATTATTTCTTGTAGTATTGTTTTTTTTTAACGTCAGACAATATTCGATACATATTTCTTACACAGTTCTTTCAAACTTTGTTTTGCTTTCTTTAAAGATAATAAAATTAATTTTCAAATCTATTTCCTAATCGTCTATTTAACTATTTATCTGTATTTACAGAAATTCTTTTTTATTTTTACAAATGGGGCTAAGAATTATGTAATTTAGAACTGTTATTTCGTTATATTTTTAATGTCATTATAGGTTCTGGTAATCGGAGCAACTAACCGTCCTGATTCTCTTGATCCTGCTCTACGACGGGCGGGACGGTTTGACCGGGAGATAGGACTGGGCATACCTGACCGGGCAGCAAGATTTAAGATTCTTAATGTTCTCTGCAGGTTAACATTTTTCTTAATTTTGCAATAAAGGGACGTTCGGCGGAATTTCAACTGAGCACCCATTTAACGGGTTGCGTTCCTGATTCACAACAGTACCCTTCATACCTTTATTTGAGCTGATATGAGGAAGATAAATCGTTGTGAGTTCTCGTGTTAGTCAATTGTCCAAACCATATTAGGAGTAGATGCTTGGAATAAATGATATTGCCATCGTATTAACTTAATTTAAAGTGTCCCTTAGGAGTGGATGCTTAGAATAAATGATATTGCCATCGTCGTCACTTAATTTAAAGTGCCCCATATGAGTGGATGCTTAGAATAAATGAATAAATGATAATGCCATCGTCGTCACTTAATTTTAAGTGCCCCTTAGGAGTGGATGCTTAGAATAAATGAATAAATGATAATGCCGTCGTCGTCACTAAATTTTAAGTGCCCCTTAGGAGTGGATGCCTAGAATAAATGAATAAATGAATAAATGATAATGCCATCGTCGTCACTTAATTTTAAGTGCTCCTTTTTATGAAGAGTTCTGTAAATGACAAGACTACAAAACAATTTTATAGTGCTGATATTTTAAAGAACTCGACCTCTCCAAAACCAATTAAACTAAAAAAATAGAAATTAACAATCCATATTTAATATTACAATTCCTGTTACCTATACTCAACTTTCTTTTAATCCTTTAAATAAGAGGTTTAACGTTTAGAACGTGTATCATGAGACATAATTGAATTTTTAATTTAGAACTTTACGACTTTGCCCGGAAGTATCTCTTCTGGAAATTGCTAGTCTAACTCCAGGTGTGTTATTTTTACTATTTTTCCAAAATATTTAAAAATATCAGATCTCAGACATTTCTAGCCCCATTTTATGTTAAATGATTAAAGTATACAAGTGTGGAGCAGGCGTACATTTAATTCCATTTCTGATCCCAAATGGGATCGGGGTTGAAAGTACATTTAGGGGCAAGTAAGGACTCCCTTGTAGTATACATTCTGCAGCATGCAATTTTTTCTACAACTTGACATCATACTTTCAATTGTTAACAATAACAACAGGATTAACTTCTGCCCTTAATATCAATCAATCGGGATCGTATTGGATGGAATTGAATGCACCCCTGGTGTGGAGTGTGTGAATATTGTTTGATCGGTTTTCAACTATTTTTAGCTACTTTTTACGAGCTTCAAGATATTTCAAATTTCAAAATAATGTTATCTAAAGTTGGCAGAATATTTCTGCCTGAACAAAGAATAAAAACAATCGTTCGTTGACAAATGAAATGTAGATAGGAGGAAGTTCCTAGAACTCTGATTGATTGATTGATTTTCAGTCTAATTTTTAGTATTTTAAAAAATATTTGTTGATCTATTCAGGTTATGTTGGAGCCGATTTAAATTCCTTAGTTCGTGAATCCGCTATAGCAGCTGTAAATAGAATGTTCTCTAGTCTCCAGGGTTCAACTACACCAGACCTTAATCAGCTATTAGGTATACAATACTGCAGTTAATAGAATGTTCTCTAGTCTCCAGGGTTAAACTACACCAGACCTTAATCAGCTATTAGGTATACAATACTGCAGTTAATAGAATGTTCTCTAATCTCCAGGGTTCAATTACACCAGACCTTAATCAGTTATTAGGTATACAATACTGCAGTTAATAGAATATTCTCTAGTCTCCAGGGTTCAACTACACCAGACCTTAATCAGCTATTAAGTATACAATTCTGCAGTTAATAGAATGTTCTCAAGTCTCCAGGGTTCAACTACACCAGACCTTAATCAGCTATTAGGTATACAATACTTTAATAGAATGTTCTCTAGTCTCCAGGGTTCAACTACACCAGACCTTAATCTATTAAGTATACAATTCTGCAGTTAATAGAATGTTCTCAAGTCTCCAGGGTTCAACTACACCAGACCTTAATCAGCTATTAGGTATACAATACTATAGTTAATAGAATGCTCTCTAGTCTCCAGGGTTCAACTACACCAGACCTTAATCAGCTATTAAGTATACAATTCTGCAGTTAATAGAATGTTCTCAAGTCTCAAGGGTTCAACTACACCAGACCTTCATCAGCTATTAGGTATACAATACTGCATATAATAGAATGTTCTCTAGTTTCCAGGGTTCAATTACACCAGACCTTAATCAGCTATTAGGTATACAATACTGCAGTTAATAGAATATTCTCTAGTCTCCAGGGTTCAACTACACCAGACCTTAATCAGCTATTAGGTATACAATACTGCAGTTAATAGAATATTCTCTAGTCTCCAGGGTTGAACTACATCAGACATTAATCAGCTATTAAGTATACAATACTGCAGTTAATAGAATATTCTTTAGTCTCCAGGGTTCAACTACATCAGACCTTAATCAGCTATTAAGTATACAATTCTGCAGTTAATAGAATGTTCTCTAGTCTCCAGGGTTCAACTACACCAGACCTTAATCAGCTATTAGGTATACAATACTGCAGTTAATAGAATGTTCTCTAATCTAGATAATCAAGGTCACAACATTTCTGTTTCATAGTTTTTTTAAATCTTCGTTTATTAAGAAAGCTTATTTTAACAGCGTTTATAAGAAGAGTTTAGATTTTTGATTTTACATATTGTTGATATTTTAGAATGGTTGCACGATACACCGCCATTGGCCCAGGATCAACTTGAACAATTGAAGATTACACAACCGGACTGGGAGGTACGAAATAATTAATCTAAAATTGTAACTATACAAAACAAGACGTTTTTATCGAATAGGCCCAATTATCATGTTTGGTTTCTGTCTGTTTGAATTTCAGAAATGTGAAAATTGTGCTGGTTTTATTTTTTATATTATTCCCTACATTATATTTATATTATTGGTTATTGACCTGTTTGTTTCATTGATTGATTGATTGATTTGTGTCATTGGTTGATGCTTTCTTTATTGATTGGTTGATATTTGTTTCATTGATCGAGGGTTTCATTGATTGATTATTTGATGGATTGTTTTATTAATTAATGATTTCATTGATGGATAGATCGATTGTCTTTGATTGATTGGTTAATTATTTGTTTGTTTGATTGATTGGTTGGTTAATTATTTGTTTGATTGATTGATTGGTTAATTATTTGTTTGATTGATTGGTTGGTTGATCGGTTTATTGATAAATTTCTTGATTGTAGACAGCTCTGAAAGTAGTTCAGCCTAGTGCTAAGAGAGAAGGGTTTGCAACAGTACCTGGAGTATCCTGGAAGGATGTAGGAGCTCTGGCAGATATAAGAGATGAACTCCAACTATCAATCCTGGCCCCTGTCAGGTATATTTCGGGACTGAAATATCTGTACTTATGTGCTTTAATTTGCAACTGCAATTGTAACCGCTACTGCAACCGTAATTGTTTTTGCAACATTTAGTGCTATTATATTTATAACAAAAACTATAACTGTAACTACAACAACAAGTATTATTGTAGTAACAGTAACTGTTCCCTTGAACTGTGAATGTTATCATATACCTGAACCCTAAACTTATCGTATTCGCTACTGTAACCAAAATCGTAACCGAAGTCGCAAACGTACAACTGTACCACCAAAAACATAACTGTAACCGTGAACTGTAACTGTAACCGTAAACGCACTTCTAGCACTATGATAGTATATAATTTTTAGTTAATGATAATAATAATCTGACTTACAATATATTTTGCTAGATATCAAGATGAGTTTGAAAGTCTAGGATTACCAGCCTCTAGTGGAGTACTACTAGTCGGGCCTCCAGGTACATTTCAACCATTTATCAGCAGTTAAGTAAAACCCAACTTAACTGACTAAAGATTACCTCAACAGCTGTTATGTTAATTAACTATTCATTGGGAGACAGTAAAGTAAAATAGCATCCTGCTCCGCCAAGTTTTCGTGAAGAAAATGTATCTCAAAAGACGATAAAAATAAATCTCGCTGCGCTCTGGTCTTGTAAACCCTAGTTAAAGTAAAATTTGTTAAACATGACAGTAAAATAGTTATAATTAATTATTATAACCCTGAACCATTATTTTTGTTACAAAACCAAGCGAAAAATTAATCCGCGGATCGCGATCTTTTTTTACAGCATATTGATGTTTTCTTTATAGTATTTTGTTAGAAATGGATGATGTTGTAAAGCTACATTTTTTAGGCTGTGGTAAAACCTTAGTTGCGAAGGCAATAGCTAACGAAGCAGGGATAAATTTTATATCCGTTAAAGGTAATTACAACTAAATTGGTCAAAAGAAAGCATCAGCAAAAAGTTTTTTATAAGTTTCATGCTTAATGTAAAAAAGAATCAAAACAAAATTACATTAGTTAAAAATGTTGAGAGTTCTTTGAAAAAAAAGATAATCTAAAACGTTAAGTAATTTTTATTTAAGATACATTTTATAATATTTCAGTGCTATGAAAATCTATATTTTAGGAGATTTTTCTTCTTTGTTGGGATCATAAACTTTTTAGATTTGAAATCAAGAAGTTTTTGCTTAAAACTGGTTTTTAGGTCCCGAACTTTTGAATATGTATGTTGGAGAGAGTGAGCGCGCTGTTCGTTCATGCTTCCAGCGCGCGCGGAACTCATCACCATGTGTCATTTTCTTTGACGAGCTTGACTCTCTCTGTCCTCGCAGGTTTGTGGTCTTTACTTTTTATAATCCAGCTCAATGTTTAAATTAAATAATAATAATTAAAATCAGAATTTCTTAGGAAAGAGTGAATTTCTTCATCGCCAATTTGTTAAATTCTGTATTCTTATACCATACCATACATTCCATTTTATCTAAGTGATCCAGAAATGCCTTACTCCCGGGACATAGCAGGCCGCGTTGTCTATGGTCATATTCCGATGGGATCAGGGTAGCGGTGACCCCTTTTCATTGAAAGTTTGTATGAAAAAAAGAAATCTATTTAAAGATGATAAAAAAAGACTGATTTTATTAAGTCAGAAAATAAAGTTTCGTGCGTTTATCCCAATTTTGTTAAAAATCTTTAAACTTCAGAGGGCTTCCATGTGATAAAAAAAATTGTTCCCTAAAAGCTCTCCTCAATGTTAACAATATTAGCCCTGGTGGTATTTGAGATTTTGCTTTTCTCCAAGTGTTAAAATGGGAGAGCCTAGTATATTGTACTATAAAGGGGTGGAGGAGGTAGTGATCGTGATGGTGGATCCTCTAGTCGAGTAGTTAACCAGCTTCTCACAGAGATGGACGGGGTCCAGGTCAGGACAGGGGTCTTTCTCATGGCAGCAACCAACAGACCGGATATACTAGGTAAGCTAAACATTTAGAGACACCATTGATTCAGTTTGTTTTTATTCTTCGTGTCCTAGCTGCAGCGCTCGGCCCAGAATTTGTCTAAACCTAACCTAGTCCACAGATTGAAAATAACATTGTATACTTGGGTGAGCCTGTATAAGGGATATTAGAAGTCTAAGCACTAGCCGCAGCGCTCCGCCCCCTAGCCTGTCCTAGCCGCAGCGCTCGGCCCAGAAGTTTTCTGAAACTTTATCTAACCCACAAATTAAAAAAAAACAATGTATACCTTTATGAGCAATAAGTATGTTAGATGAAGAAGAAATGATTATATAAATGTATTGAAAGGTTAAATCCAAGCCGCCGCTTAGCTAACGTGCCGGTCACCCAATTTTGGAAGTCCGGTGCGATGGGTTGGGTTCTGGTAGTTTTTGGAACTAAGAGTTGCCTCATAATAGATAGATAGACTTAAAGACTGCCTAAAAACATATACTGTATAGATTTTTACACAAAATTACAACGGATTCAGGATAATCTAGATATATAAATAGATTCTAACAAGTAACAACCATTACAAAAAGATTTGTGGGCGCGCCTAAGTTTTTGTTTGGTCTCGAATTCGTGTTTAATTTACCCATTTTAGTAGTTTTCACGAAAATTACCAGTTTTCCGACAGATTTTAGAACAACTCAACATTACGACCAAGCCTTATTTGACTTGAATAAAAGGTTTATGATGTAAACTCAATATTGCTGACCACACCCCTGATACCCCACTGTGCCTGAACAAATTCCTGTAAACGTATAGTGAACCCCTTGACCAATTTGCTTCAAATCCAGATTGGGAAACTTGGTTTCCAGACAAAGCTGGGGTTTCAAGCTAGTTATTAAATACTTGATTTGATTTAGATCCTGCTGTGTTAAGACCTGGAAGGTTGGACAAGGTTCTCTATGTCGGGTTCCCGGGTCCACAGGATAGAGTTGAAATATTAAATGCTCTCACTAAAAATGGAACTAAACCAAAACTAGGAAACCCACACAAAAATAAACTATCATCTTATGTTTTATTTAATGATCAAAAAGAATTTTTATCCAGATATATTGATTGAAAACATTTATGAATAGTTTTTTATTGTATTTATTCAATATTAAACGCCAATTCTAACATTAAAAAATCAATATGTTTAGAGCAATGCTTTATTTTTGAACAATCTTTTTCAATGAGGATTTAAGTTCTAGGCTTCTCTTTCTAATAATACACTTAGCGTTTTATGCTTATCTATTTAAAACCCTTTCTCTTTAGTGCACTAATATAAAAGCCATGAAAATTCCGCATATTTATCAGTTTTTGTCAAAAATTTTGGAGGCTGAATATCAAGAATTTTAATTTGATTTGATTTGCTTTGCCGTTAAATAGAAAACGATGAGAAAAATATACAATAAACAATAGATACCATTGGGATTCTTCTGTTGAAGTAAAATTTATATGTGTGGTTATCAGGTCCAGATGTTGACCTGCAAGAGATAGGGTCAGATCCTCGATGTGACGGGTATTCTGGTGCCGATATGTCGGCTCTTGTCCGTGAAGCGAGCATGTCCGCGCTTAAGGAAGCGCTCAAGAGCAGTGTCAAGACGCCGATATCCGTTTGCCGAACCCACTTCGATCGTGCATTTTACAATTTGAAACCTAGTGTGGGGGAAAAGGATCAAATCAAATATCGAGCAATGCAGAAGAAATTTTGCCATAAACTTGGATTTCAGTCAGAACCTACTCCAGAAATTGATCTAACTCCTTCGAACACTTTTGCCGAGCTAGAGATACCTGTTCTTCAAGCTGTAGCCCAGGGAGGTGACGTTATTGTTGAAGAGAGAAAAGGTGAAAAACTCTGCACTATCAAAGAACAGGATATTACAGCAATGATTATGGATGACGCTTGTAACACAGGATTGAATTTATTTTCCATAAATAATTCCTGTAAGGGTCAAATTAACCATGTTGAACCTAATACCAATCAAACAACCTGTGAAGATGACGTAGAAATGCTTGATGATGGTCTGGAGATGATAGTTGATGAAATGCTTGAGGATCAAGGAGTAAATAAAGCTCTGGATAAACTTCAAACTTCTGATGATTTGCTTGCCACGGAAAAAATCAACATAGATTCTGGTATTATTGATGAATCAGAAAAGACCATTTTTCCTACAAAAGAAGTCTCTGATTCAAGCATTACAATTTTAGAAGAGCTAACAGATACTTCTGATTCCATCATTGTCAAGGAACACGAAAGAGAAATTGACGTGAATGGCATTCAGGAATTAAATGAAAATCGCAATTTGGAACAATCCAATGAAAGAGGGGAAGATCAAATTCATGAAACACGTCAACAATTGGACATTAATGAAACAATGGGATCTGTAGTAAAAGAGACCAAAGAGATCAAAGAGATCAGTACATCTGAAGTTAATGAATTACAAGAATCAGGGGCTGAAATAAACAATGAATTAGGAAATAAAGATATCAAGGACTTAGTTAATGACACGAGTCAAAATCCTAAAGATGTCGGTCTCAATGCTTTAAGCAGTCAAGATTCTGAGGATGTAACCGAGAGTCTAATTTCGGAAGCATTCATAGAAAATAGCAAAGAGACGGATTCAACAGAAATATCTGAAAATCCTAAACCTTCTGAGAATTTAGAGATTTCAGAAGAGTCTGCTAAAAATGCAGACGATTTTAAAGAATCGAAAAACCAGAATTCTGAAGAAATGTCTGAACCCCAAATACCTGAGGAAACGGCAGAAGGAATCGACCCCAAAGAATCCGCCAAAACTAATGAAAATAGAAAATCCGCGGAAATTGAACGGCGAGATTCAGAGGACGGCCCTGGGAAAGTCAAGACCGACGGATGTACACTTCGTTATTTGCCCCAGATGATGATAAGGTACTATTTCACGATATTTCTTCTTTTGATCAATACTTTAATATTCTGATATTTTTTTCTTAGGGTTGTTGATACCAGCAAAGTTCCAAGTGCAGCGGGGAAAAATGGAATTATAAAAAATCTAAGAAAAAATAACAAGGTAAGTGTTGTTGATAGAAGAAATTGTAGAACTGGTTTTTTAGATTGCTTTCCTTTTCTCATTATAGTTCCTCTGTCCCCTTTACTGTGTAAATTGGTGTTTTCTTCTCTTGATCTGAACTTAATATCTCTGATGTTAACGTCTACTAAAGTTCTACAAATTTCAACATTTGATTACTTTTTCCTCTTTGGCTTTTTCTTTATTTTCATAATAAAGGTCAAACTAAGTTTTTAAAGAAATTGGGAAATTTAGTTATGTGGAAAATTTTAATCTTTAAACTAAGAAACCCAAAACTTGTCGCAAACTTTAATTTTCTTATCTCTATTTCTTTGCAACCTGATTATGAATACCCTTGACGTTTCAAACTTTTATCGATTGAACGATGAGAAGTTTGAAATATAAAGAAGTCAACATCAGGGTTTAGATTTAATAAATAGCGGGATGTAGTTGAACTGCATTGACAGTTGATCCACTTCTCTTTTGTGCCGGTCAAGGTGCAGAACAATAGTTTAACCTGGTCTTCGTTGTTCAACAATGTCTCACTATTCATTTAATCTGGTCCCTGGTTGCAAGGATAATATGATTAGGAATTGAAGTTTGAGTCGAGTAATCAGTTCTTTTCCGCATGCATTTTATCGTTTAATGTTCTGTTAAGGCGGCTACCGTGAAGCTTGAAGGAAGTGGATTAAGTCAGAGGATTGTTGATGTAGCTGAGCTGGAACCCTTTATGCCGGAGGAAGGGGATATGGTCAAACTTCTGGTTCCAGGAGAGGTAGAGGAGCCAGGACAGGTAAATACCTCTGGGTAGATACGGTTATACATATACAAGGTCCTGCATCATGTAAGAATATAGTGGAGGGTCAGGTCATCATTTATTATTATATTTATCCCTCTCCAAATCTCAAAAAATAAGTCCTCCTTAGGAGGGAATAACAAATACAAAACTTTTCTTTTTTCATTCAACAGTTTCTAAAAGTAAAAGAACATGTTACAACAATAACATTCTTTCATTGAAATTAATTAAGCCTATAAATATTCAGTTTAAAGGGACTGTCGTCGTAATTTTACATGACCTTCATTTAAAGAGGCCCATAACCCATTTCAGAATATTACCCTTTAAACCTTATTATGTGTTATAATGTGTATGATGTAATTGTTTCTGTAGTAAGAATTCCGAAAGTTACTTTTACAGAGAAACTATTATATTTTGAATGTCTCTCTTCAATTGGAGGGTCACTAAAAATTTCGTCGCCAGTCCCTTTAATCAGCCTTTTTCTATTTAGGTTATTTCCTTGGATCGGAACGATATTGCTGAAGTGAAGTTTTCTGACTCTAGTATTCAAACCTTTGAGATAGATTCTCTTTGCAAAATATCAGAAGATCCTCTGGACTAAAATTTATTTTTTATTTTTATTTTTATCGCCGATTTGCTTAGATTTTGCACACAGTGTTGTTTAAAATTTTTGTTTCAGAAAGAATGGGTCGGCATAGGAGCAGGTCGGATAGTAGAGGTAGGTCAAGGATGTTGACCGACACCAGGGACAAGAATAGGAGCGTTCAAGGGGTTTCTAAGAGTATAGACAGGTATAAACGGAGGTGGGATGGAAAAGAGAAACAGCATTAAATGAAAGTCTTATAAAGTTACTATTTTAGTCATGAGAAAAAAGTGAATTATATCTAAAAAAGAAATTGCTATTTGGTGAATGTTAAAAATGAGGAGTGTCAACATTCATTAGATTAGAACAATGTCTGAGACATGCATGGACTGAAAGATGGAGCCTTAATTAAATCCAGTTGAAATTCTTTGTCTATTAATTTTTCGAAATGTATAATCTTACCAAAAGAAATCATTTCTCAACATGTAAATTCTGTTTAAGAGCTATCTAAAATGACCTGTAGGGTGACCCACAGGGGATGATACTCTAAAGACGACCGACCTCATATTTAAAATTCGGTGATAGTAATGGATCAAACCTCTGTAGAGTAAAAAAAATGGATGTTAGTTCCACATTTCTTGAAAATATATTTCGGTCTGGGTTGACCCTCGTCAGTTCTAACGATATAATAACCATCAAAATCGATTTTTAAAAAAATAATAAAACCCACAAAAAAATAAACTAACAAAAAAGATTATTAAAAAAATAAATAATTGGGCTGTCAAATGAACAAAAGGGAAATAGGATAGATTAAAGATAATTTGCAAATGACCACATATTATTGAAAAAAAGACGATAAATAATGTTACATAACTTTTGGACTTAATAAAGCTTTTTAAATGGCGTAATAAAGAAAGAAATGAGGTTTTGAACTACAGAAAACCATACAGAAAGAAAAACTAAGACTAAATAATTTCCATAAAGTCGTCTCTGTAGTCCTATTATTTGTGAGCAGCACTGTACATTGTACTTCCTCGTCAGTATTGACTAATTCATAAACTTAAGTTTATTAATAGAAATAAAATAAAAGAAAAAATCATTAATGCCGATTTTGTAAACAATAAAAGCATTTTTATAACATTGAAAGGTCCTTTTAATTATATGTTGCATGGAAAGGTTTTTTGTTAATCAATTTAGTAAGGTCATCTTGAGGTTGAAATGTGGTGGGTTGGACGTTCCTAAGACTCTGATTTGATATCGACTTAACATTAACAGGTATGGGAGAAATACAGACAAACGGTCAGATTCGCGGTCAAGGAACAGGCAACGGTCACGCGACCGGTCCCGAGATAAGAAGAAGACAAAGAAGAAGAAGAAACGAAGAACAAGATCTTCTTCTAGTGATGTAGCGACAGATACGGATTCAATCAGGTAATTCACCACCGAATTGCTATGTTAATGACCGAAAAATGTAAGATCTATATGAAACCACTTTCTTAACGGAAGTGAAGACGTTTTTCAAGTGATCCTTTATTTGAAGAGTGCTATGTTCTATTATCTTGATTTTAAACTTTTATTAAACAAAAAATTTACATATACATTTAGAACGTTGTTTGAAAACAAAACAAATTTGTTTAGAAAAATAATAAAAGATAAATGTTAAGATATCCTATTATCAGTGATACACATTTATCCTATTATAAAGCATTAGAAACAATGAGGAAGATATCGTCATTTTCTGTCTAGATAAGAGAATTTGCTCAAGTCACTGTAAAAAAGAAAACCCAATTTTCAATTTTCAGCCAGATAGATAAGGATATCTCACTCATCATTGATCATTTAAAGGGTACCATTGCGAATCGGAAATGTCACTAAATAGGACGGCTATTGAAATTTCGTCGATAGTGTTAAATTGTAGTCATCAACAACTAAAACTACATATTCAGTTCGAACGACTCTGCCGTGATGGTTGCAAAGATTGAGCTGAAGAAACTGAATGAAAAAGAGCGCTGGAAGCAAGAGAAAGCGCGCCGGAAGGCCATGGAAACACCGGAGGAAAAGCGCGCCCGCCGTTTGATGAAAAAACAGATCAAGTCTCTGCGCCGGAAGCAGACTGAAGGGTGGTCCGAGCAGATTAGTCAATATGATAATGATGATAATCCATTTGGAGACAGTACTCTTACACAACCTTTCAGGTTAGTTTAACATCTTCAGGGTGGCCAAAATGTACGGATTGTACGGATTGTACGGATTGATTTTTTTTAACCCTAAAATTGTACGGATTGTACGGATTTATTGTTTTTCGAAAATTGTACGGATTGTACGGATTTCTTCTGAAAATGTACGGATTTTTGTACGGATTGGTTCAAAAAAGTTTTGGCCACCCTGCATCTTTAACAAGAATCTTTACGGAATTTTATTTTTTTATTTTTAAATACTTCCGATAATTTTTCCATTTCAATCTAGGCATATGGAAAATGTCCATTTATTAAAAACTATTTTTAAAACTCGAAATCTCCTGGCTCTAGTTTTGATATACGCCAAAGTTGAGAAGCCAAAATTTATTGTTTACATATCAGAATGTTCGTCTTATGGATTTTTAAAAGAGGCGTTAAGATTGAAAACATGTAAGCTTCCACGCTGACATAAAATTACTTTAAGAAAACAAGTGTTTTATTGCAGGGCTAAATAATTTAAAGAAATGAATTTTGATGGGGAAAAGATAAAAACTAACCGAAAGAAAAATCCCATTTAAAAAGTACATAACTTCTGGTAGGCGGGGGGGTTATGATTTTTCAAGAAAATATACATCCCTGGTGCATTGTTTAGATGGGAGAAGAAGCTTGAGAAGGAAGGTCTGGGAGATCTGAAGGACGAGGAGCTGGACCAGCTCGCACAGACCAGAATTATGGAGCAGAAGATGGAGCTGGAGAAAGTGAAGAAGGCCAGGTTGGAGCGAGAGCGTGAGAAGCAGGAGAGGTTGGAGCTGGAGGAGCTGGAGAACAGGCAGAAGGAGACGGATAAGTTCTCCAAGTGGGCGAAGGATGAAGATCAGTTTCATTTAAAACAAGCACTTCTCCGTAGCTCTATCAGAATCAGGTTACCAAACATTTTCCATCCAATTTAGATATTAAACAGAAAACTGACAAGAAATTAAGAAATAACTAGAAAAGTGTTAAAAGAAAGGAACTTGTACATACAGGGCCGGGCCGGGGAGTCGAAATATTCTTTGGGATGAATAATCTGTGTCAAAGTACTTCTATAAAAGTACTGCTATAATTAGAAAAATACATTTGTTTTATGGTAACAGTTTTTCTGTTTAGTGATGGTCGCGCAAAACCTATAGATCTTCTAGCAAAGTATATAAGTGCAGAGGGAGAGGTAACAATCCGATTTATTTATATATACTATACATCTATCTATCTACTATCCAGATGAATATCTTTCTATCTATACAAATTCTCCTAATTTCTAACAGTCTAAGCTCCAGTTTAAGCCAACCCTGTTTTAAATATGCTAATGTATATCTATCTATCTACGTAAATCTATTAACGTGGCAAATTTTCTTTATATCTAGATACTTATCTACCTATTTATCTTATCGAATCATCCATCTATTTATCTATTTATCTATCCGTCTATTTATCAAATTATCTATCCATGTGATTATGTGATTATGTGAGATGAGATCTGCAAGAAGCCCTATCTATCTATCTATCAAGGTTGATACTGTAGAACGGATTATCTATCTATCTATCTATCTATCTATCTATTCTATCTATCTATTAAGGTGGATACTGTAGAAATGCATGAACCATACACATATCTCAACGGATTATCTATAACAGATTTAGAAGATCTACTAGAAGATATTCTGGTAAGTATCTCACTTATCAATTGGCATATTTGATGTTTTCCTTGAAACAAGTTTTTTCAAAAATGAATTCAATCTTAATGAAGATTGAAGCATCGCTTAAAATTACGTTTACCTTCCCTTTTATATAAAAAAGACTTGATTTCTGTTTTCACACTTTAGTAACTAAAATAGTAAAGAATTATCGTCTTTGTTTTTCTTTCCCTCCTGTCGTTAATAATTGGTATACCTAATGTATTAAGTATTCGGGTACATTTTCAGAAACCGTTAAGTAACAGATTACATAATCTGTATTTTATTTTATAAGATTATTCTACTGTTTATTGGTGGTATTTTTTTTTTTTGGGGGGGGGGGTTCCTCAAAATTGCGCTTTAATTGAAATAATTTGCAATTCGATTCCTTTTTTCTTCTCAAATCTTAACGAATCCACAATTCAGTTGTGACTTGAACCTACCTTCTGTCTGTAGGCGCCCAAAGAAATCCTTCATGATTTAGTATGATATGATATGATTTTTGGAATTTTTTACGAAGAATGTTATTGTTTAGGTTTACCAGAGGTTAGAGAAGGGAAACAACTGTGAATATTGGGAGGATATAACAATTATTGTTAAGGATGAACTTCATAAACTTAGAAAATTGGACAGTAGAACAGGTAGGGATAGAACTAGGGATAGAACTAGGGTAACAGGTAGGGATAGAACTAGTGTAGAACAGGTAGGGATAGAACTAGGGCAGAAAAGGTAGAGATAGAACTAGTTTAGAACAGGTAGGCATATAACTAGAGTGAAACAGGTAGGGATAGAACTAGTGTAGAATAGGTAGGGTAGGTAGGGATAAAACTAGGGCAGAACAGGTAGGGATGGAACTAGGGATAGAACTAGTGTAGAATAGGTAGGGATAGAACTAGTGTAGAACAGGTAGGGATAGAACTAGTGTAGAACAGGTAGGGATAGAACTAGCGTAGAACAGGTAGGGATAGAACTAGGGCAGAAATGGTAGAGATAGAACTAGTTTAGAACAGGTAGGCATATAACTAGAGTGAAACAGGTAGGGATAGAACTAGTGTAGAATAGGTAGGGTAGGTAGGGATAAAACTAGGGCAAAACAGGTAGGGATAGAACTAGTGTAGAACAGGTAGGGATAGAACTAGTGTAGAACAGGTAGGGATAGAACTAGGGCAGAATAGGTAGGGATAGAACTAGTGTAGAACAGGTAGGGATAGAACTAGTGTAGAACAGGTAGGGATAGAACTAGGTCAGAACAGGTAGGGATAGAAATAGTGTAGAACAGGTAGGGATAGAACTAGTGTAGAACAGAAAGGGATAGAACTAGGACAGAAGAGGTAGGGATAGAACTAGTGTAGTACAGGAGTAGGACATGTGCTTTGTGCGCGCAAGTGCAAATATGTAAATTCATAAAGAAGTACATCGCAAAGTGCAAGTTCAAAGTATGCAGAGTGCAAGTACTTAAGAAGCTAATGCACAAAGGAAAAATTTAAAGTTATGTATTTAAGTGCAATTGCAATTGCAAGTTTGTAACGCAAAGTTTAAGTTCTAAGTGAAAGTAGTCAAAGTCTAGATGAAATTGCATTTGCATTTGTTAATGGTAAATACAAAGCAAAGTCCAACTTTTAATTGCAGAGGCAAATTCATGTTCAAGGACAAGTGCACAATGCATAAAGACATTTAACAACAAGTTTCATACATATGAAAGTGAAAATACAAAGCTCCTTAAACCCAAATCTACTGTTAAGGAAGCCAATATGAGGCTGCTATTGAACGAAGAGAGGGTATAAACAAGGCAGTTCAGAATGATGTACAACATATATTTAAAGGTATCACATATATTTATCCTTTAGTTCTAATTTTGGTAGTTTCTATTAATTAAGCCCCCCCCCCTTCCTTCTGAAAAGTTTAACCTAGCTATCGTGACTATCCATCTTCAGATCCTCCCTTATCTTATCTTATCTTATCTTGTCTTATCTATCTTATCTTATCTTATCTTATCTATCTTATCTTATCTTATCTATCTTATCTTATCTTATCTATCTTAATTCTTAACCTAATGATAATATAACCTAAGAGGAGAGGGCGGTTTCCAATATTTGACGAAATTAATTGATTGATAGATTGATTCCAGGTAAAACTGTTGAGCAGTTGGAACAGCTTCAGAAGCAGATAGAGGTTAAACTGCAGGATCGAACTGAAGGTGTGGATATTGGGTACTGGGAGAGTTTAATCTCACAACTCAAGGTAATTGGCCATCACAACCTTTTTATTTATAAATGAAATTGATTAATGTAAAATTGTTATTTTATATTTATGCTAAATGTACTTCAGCTGCAAAAACAACACATTTTCAAAATTACATTTAAAGGTCTCCAGTTGTAATTTTAAGTGTCCCTTCACTTAAAAAAGGCCATGCCCGGTTCAAACTCCATGTTGAATTGAATTGAATTGAATTGAATTGAATTGAATTGAATTGAATTGAATTGAATTGAATTGAATTGAATTGAATTGAATTGAATTGAATTGAATTGAATTGAATTGAATTGAATTGAATTGAATTGAATTGAATTGAATTGAATTGAATTGAATTGAATTGAAGATAGCTTGAAAAGTGTAAAATTGAAAATTCAGGAAAAAAATAAACTGGGTACTTTTATGACTTGGATATTCCACTCTATGAATGAAGGGAACTTAAAAAGAAGTCTACAGTCTTTGTAGGTCAAAAAAAAATAAAAATTAATTTGTGAAATTGCAAATTGTTCGCAGGCGCACACTGCACGTGGTAGACTGCGTGACCGACATCAGCAGCTCCTGCGCTCTAAACTGGCGCAGCTAAAAGCAGAACAACTGGGGAAGAAGGTGGAGGATGTGAAGCCTGGTCCGAGTAGGATACAGGAGGAGGACAAGAAGGAAAGGGTGCCACGACATGTGTTTGCTTGTGTCATTTAATTTTACAATCGTCAATACTCAAATTTACTATTTTTATTATTTGCTGTCTGACTTTTTCTTATTTGTAAAGCTTAACACGTTTCTCCTAGCCGCAGCGATTAACCCCCTTTCCTTGCCGCAGTGATCGGCCCCCAGCCTGTCTTATCCGCGGTTGCCCTCTGGTTTGTCCCAGTAGCACTGCTCGGCTCGGTGTCCTAGACCTAGCATAAATGTCGTTGCGCCGTAGGAAAGTACAGCTGAAGAGGAGGAGGAGGACGAGGAGGACGAAGAAGGTATTGAGTATGAGGATGGTGAGAGCGAGGTTAAAGGAAGTATTACTGAGTACAATAGAGGATGTTACAGTCCTGATTACGCCAGGTAAATAGAATTTAATTAGATATTAAATGAGTTCTAGAAATTACTATTTCATGAAATATGAAATAAAAAAGTGACTTTTCAATAAAAAGGGATTACGAGGCATCATATTATGTTTGGCATGATCACTTTTCAAAATTAATAGATAAGTGTCTTGAGGACAAATTTATGTTAAATACAAATAATAATATATTACAGATTAATATATCCCTGCCTGTGATTTTAATAAACATAAACAATTCTGCAAATTGTTAAACTATTTTTAATTAGTTTGCATTTATTCATAAGGGCCGGGTTTTATTTGGTTTTAGACATAGAGAATAGAATATATAGAGAGGAATTAAAAGAATCTCTCGGTATGAATTTTTTCAGTCCCTTTCAGCCTGAAAGGGAGTTCAAAGTGTACAAATCATGTAAATGTTCACAAATTATATGCTGTAGAGTACATTAATACAGTATGTTCCCTAGACTATTCATTTCAATTTCGAAATTTTTAAAGCTGTTAAATAAACTATATAATGAATTAGGTGAATAAAAACATCATTTGATTTATAGTTATAACGGAAAATCATCGTTTGTAAAGTGGAAGGCATAGAGTCTAAGTGAAATGATCATTGGTCAATTATAAAACCAGCCTATTTCATAATTTGGTTTTCTTTTAACAATAATTTTAGATTTTCTATAAAATGATATTCCAGGGCCCAACAGGTTATATAGCATAAATATGTGAAGTACACCTGCAGTATGGAAACAGTACAACAAAATGGCCGTTTTACACTTTTTTTTAGTAAATTCCTCTCTATATATTCTATTCTCTATGGTTTTAGACCTGCTTCAGGCTTTTTACTTGTTAATAATTTAAATGTTTTATATGGTTTTAAATCTGATTCAGGCTTTTTACTTGTTAATAAAATAAATGTTTTATTTGGTTTTAAATCTGATTCAGGCCTTTTGTACTTGTAATAAAATAAATGTTTTAATTGGTATTAAATCTGATTCAGGCTTTTTGTACTTGTAATAAAATAAATGTTTTATTTGGTTTTAAATCTGATTCAGGCTTTTTGTACTTGTAATAAAATAAATGTTTTAATTGGTTTTAAATCTGCTTCAGGCTTTTTGTACTTGTAATAAAATAAATGTTTTATAAGAAAATTAAACTTTAATTTGATAAAAGGACAAAGTTTTTAATATTTCTATGAGTTTTGGTATTTCGTCGTCTTCCGTTAATTTTCACATATTAAATTTTACCTTGAGCGTGCAGCAATAAATTCACGAAATAAATGAATATTTTTAAGAAAGCTAAGGCTAAGGGGTCTTTATACTTTTTACTTTGAGCGTGCAGCAATAAATTCACAATTTTTCCCTTATATTTAAACCTAATTTTTGCAAAATGTGAAGACGACATTGGATTATATAAAGACGACAGAAACTAAAACAAAACTATTTCAGATTAGAGGATTTACCTCCTGGAACTGTTACCTTCCTTGAAGAGGAAGATGTTGCCAGGAGAAACTTTGATCAAGTTAAAGCCCAGCAGGGTGCTAAGGTAAACCATTTCCATATATTGGTTATATATTCATTTGACAGGCCCGAGCTAGGAATATTGGACCGGAAGGTCCAGGAAGCAAACCGTATTGTTGTGATGTACTGCACATAATATGTGTTTATAAGAAATTTAAAATTTCATCTCCTGTTCAGGTCCAAAGGGACTGAAAATATTCATAACATGGGAAATTCTTATTTTTCCTCTGTATTATATATTGGGTGGTTAAAAAATAAATATAAAGATTTCAGAGACGACTGTACAGAATTTATTCAGCCTTGTTTCTTGCATTCAGTGTTCCTGTAGCTGTACAATTGTTCCTTTCGTTACCAGATTATGGATATACAATAACAGTATCACGACTTTATTCAAAACAGAAAACTAAATTCAATCATCATCAGTCTCATCCTTTGTGGATAACCCTGTAATATTTGTATTTGTAAATTTTCTATTTGACTTTTATTAATATATTTATGTACAGGTGGAAAACGTGTTGACGGGTGAGGAGAGGGCTCTGGAGAGGGAGGCGAAGAAGGGGATGGGTGAGGATGAGGCAGTGTTTAGTGTTGAGAGTACACTGGATCAGAGTTATGAGTGGAGTGATAAATATAGACCTAGAAAACCAAGGTATTCATAATTATATATCCATATTCCATATATATCTTTTTATGAGAAAAGGATAAAAAGTTTTTAAAACTATTTTTAAACGTGCATGTTAATTTTTTTAGTCGCTATTAAATAAGTTTCCCGCCCCTGATGATCGTACTTTTTATTAAACATTTGTATTTAATATTTATCTGTTAAATAAAAGGAAAAAAATATCCTAGGAATTATTGAAATTTTTAACCAATCCTTAAAAATAGTAAATACTTTGATTTTTTTGCAAACTTCGCGTGAAAAACCCATTTTTATCATGTCATGCACCTATCCACAAACTTCTTTTTTTAGATACACTGCACTCCTATTTTAGATACTTTAACCGAGTGCATACTGGGTTCGAATGGAACAAGTACAATCAGACTCATTACGACTTCGACAATCCTCCGCCTAAGATTGTTCAAGGATACAAGTTCAATATCTTCTACCCAGATCTAATTGATAAATCAATCACACCAGAGTTCAGACTTATTCCAACAGGTATAGTAGGTGGATTAGGACAGGTCGGAACTTTTGATTTGTTAATCCGGCTCTTTATAAACCAATTACGGATTCGGTATTAACCTTTTGATAAACCCAAAATAATTTCTAAAAAAATTTCACATCTAATCTTCTCTCGGCTTCTACTTAGAACATTTGCCATAATACAAAAGACATTGGACATCAGGCAAAGGACATTGAACATCAGACAAACGACATTGAACACCTACAAAGGACATTGGACATCAGACAAACGACATTGAACGCCTACAAAGGACATTGAACATCAGACAAACGACATTGAACGCCTACAAAGGACATTGAACATCAGACAAACGACATTGAACGCCTACAAAGGACATTGAACATCAGACAAACGACATTGAACGCCTACAAAGGACATTGAACATCAGACAAACGACATTGAACATCAGGCAAAGGACATTGAACATCAGACAAACGACATTGAACACCTACAAAGGACATTGAACATCAGACAAACGACATTGAACACCTACAAAGGACATTGGACATTAGACTAAAGACATTAGACATATGTACGGTTTGATCAGCATTTCTTGAAATGTATTTTTGTTTTGTTTAGACGACGGGGATTTCTGTATTCTGAAGGTGACCTCTGGACCTCCTTACGAGGACATTGCTTTCAAGATCGTGAACCGAGAATGGGAATATGGTTACAAGAGAGGATTCAGATGCCAGTTCCATAATAATATCTTCCAACTCTGGTTCCATTTCAAGAGATACAGATACAGACGTTAAATCACGTAGAATTAGAATTCGGAAAAATATGAACATGTTTACAAATATACAGTTCTAACATGATTGTAATTTTATGTTCAGGGATCTTAATGAAATTGTACTTTTCAGATGATATGTTTAGACTATGTGATTCTTTTCAGGCAGAAAATATGATATAAATCTTGAATTGTTTTATGACAACATTATTTCCTTCTTTTTCAGTAATAACCTCTTAAATAAATTTTTTAAGGTGTTTATACTTTAATAAAGTTATTCTGAAAATTTTACGACGATGAAAGTGTAACACGAAAAAGAAGATCGCAAATGTTAATTTTACATTTTTTTTAGAATTTTTTTTTGAATTTGACTCTTCAGTCTTCAGTAAATAATAAAAAAATAGAAATATATTAGATAAAATCATATATTTGGTAAACTGAACAGTTTCTCCTTGGTGTTGAGATATGGAGTATCACTGTGGCCCTACTCAGGTTTGTTCTAAATAGGAATATCAAAATAAAAGGACTGTTCTATAATTCTATGAGACCATCAGTTTAAAGAGGTGCATGACAGATTAACAAGTAAACCCTTCAACTATTTATTATACAAAAAATGTGGGAGGTTTCTTCTTTTTTTATATTTAAAAGTGTTTAATTCTACCTTTTACCTCCATTGTTTCTGTTGCAGAATTTCGGATGTCAAATATATAGAGAAATTCCAATTGAAAATTATTAATTTTCATGAGTAAAAACATTGATATTTGATTCATTCTTGATCATGTAATACTTGTGAGCGTACTGCTGTAAATCGGACATGCCAGTCTGTAAACTAAGGGATACCTAGAATTACGACAAATATTTACAAATAAATATTCCAGTTAGTTCGCTAGTATTTTACTCCTGCGGATCCGGATCCTGGATCCGCCTGATGAAAAAGAATCAGTCAGCAAATATATTTCTTTTATTCTTTATATTTCATTAACTGAAGCAAACCCGAATGAGTCTAATCAAACCTTTATTAAAACTTGATTAAGAACTCCGTGATAGAATCATTTAATGTTTTCTAAAACTTTAAACGAAACAAAGGAAATTGGAAAAAACGATTTTTGAAAATAATTTGCCAATGGTAGTTTTCTTTACAAGAAATATCCTGTGAGACACAGGTCTATCCAATTTCTTAGTACAATAATGCTCAGTGATCACATTACACTGGGGAACAAAGATTTTGGTGCCAGAGATATTTCAATGGATTCTGTTACCTTTAGGGTTACTGATAACTATATGATAAATACCTTTTCTCAATCAGGTCAGAATTTTCAGCAATTTTGATTTATTGTCTTGTAAGTTTTGGCTTATCGAACGGGTATTCGTTTAAGAGAGAAATTGGCCATAACTCAGCCCACAGGCAAAATTTAAAAAAATCAAAGGCACTTTATTTTCTCAAAGTTTTAAAGTTGAAGAAATGAATGTGGCCTTATTTTTAAGATTTTTAGCCTACAGCCTGAGATATTACTATTTTCTGTTATTTTNTTTTCTTCAACTTTTAAAGTTGAAGAAATAAAAGTGCCCTTATTTTTTTATATTTTGTACACAGCTGAGTTATGGACAATTTCTAATGTTGATAAATCGCTCTCCAAACAACAAAATATATAAAGCTAAAATCAAAATTGCAAAAAAATCTGACCTGATTGAGCAAAACGGCGATTATTTTAGTTATCAGTGACCAAAGAGGTAATATAATCAGTTGAAATATTCTAGGCACCATAAAAAAAATTTCTTTTGTTCCCCAGTGTTATAATATTCAAATCAGTTCTTTATTAAAAAATCTGTAATTCACTTGTTCAACGAGAGGACCACATGATTGATTTTTATTTTTCATTATAGTTCCAATTTACAACGATTATTTATTATTTTATTTTCACTCAACTGCGCAATATTTCAAATATTATAAGCCGACCCGGCCCTGGTACCATGGGATGATAGACAAGTCGAATCTTTTAATGGTCTATCCAATTTCTAAGCTTAATAATGATCAGTGATCACACTATCATATTGAAATCACTTATTATTAAAAAATCTGTAATTCAATGTAATTCAACTAAACTAAAATCAACGATTGTTTATAATTAAAATTAGACTATTTTTGTTTCCCTTGAAAAAAAAAGAAAAAAATAGAAAAATATCGAAAGCCGACCCTTTGTCCCATGGGATTATAATGTCAATATTACGTCCCGCAAGTATAATGAATTAAGGTATGGGAGTTCCTCCGATGCATGGTGATTATGAGGCGCAACGGCATTGGCAGGAGATAACGGTCAATCTGCCACTCTCCGACTGGTATAATCAAACAAAGGTAATATTCAAAACATATTCAAACTTGGGCAATTGTATATACTCCTTTAACTTTTTGATATTTATTGATTTTAGATCTAAATTTGTTATTTACAAGCATTTTATGTTTTTTTTTCATCAAAATATTTTCTTCATGTCAGAATAGTTAAATGCATAAGTTTCTAAACAATGTTGGCCTCACTAAAGGGACTGTAGGCATAATTTTAAGGTGCTCTCCATTTGTAGAGTGGCATGCCCGATTCACACCAGTACTTTTCACTGATGAATAATGTGGGACAAATCTTCAGGGTGGCAAAAATGTACGGATTGTACGGATTGTTTTTTTTAACCCTAAAATTGTACGGATTGTACGGATTGTACAGATTTTCTGGAGAGAACCCCAAAA